TATGTATTAATGGTGGCTTCAGACTGACGGGTTGAGCTCGGAGGCGTGGTGGGAAGATTCTGAGGAAAAGGCTACGAAAACCCAGACCGGCAACTGTACAATAATGCTTTTAAACGATTTAATATCTTGCAACTGGCTCTTGAATACGGCCCGTTTCGAGCAAAAAATAGATGTAATTCAGGGACTAGTGTGTTGCCTTGCCAAGGCCGTGTAAGTCCAGGGCTTTTCGGAGACGAGTTCTTGTGGGATCGCTAGCCTTTACAAGGCTTCGGGCTAGGATATCGTCCCCAGAATTTTATACTTGGATGGGTTTGGGTTAGGGTTAGGATCAGGTACGGTTTTGAATTGATAGTCTCTGTGAACGTAGACTGCAGGCACAGTTCTGGATACGCGTTGACTATCCAAAACCTTGTCTGAACATGGTTCTGGATAAAGCACACGGGTCTTGACGTGGGGTTTAGATTCCACGAAGGCTTTCGAGTTTTCCTTCCGTGTACACTGACAACAAACTTAGCATTGCCAAGGACACACCTTTTCTTGGAGTGGCTCTCCAAAAGATTACAACATAACGGGAGGGGGTAGTTAGAGATGCACTTCTAACCGTAGGATGACATAACAATGTTTGTACACCTTACTACCGCTGGAAACGGACAGCTTTGAAGACACGGAACCGGATATGTTTTTCTGGTGATTCTCAAAGACAACACTTACCCACCGTTCCCGTCTGTATACAGCTGTATAAATCAATAAGAATTCGATTTCTAGATAATCTTCCACAGAGCCTAAAACTGCGATTTCTGTTTTTTTTTAAGCTAGTGAAGGCTTTCAACACCAAAGAAAGCTACACATCTCAACAGTCTAGTCAACTTCATCGCATATCATGCCTACCCATGACTTGTATCTTAACGGCATGGTTGTCCAATACAGTAGCATTGTACAATAGGGAAAGTTTTCGAATGCTCTTGAGAGCTTTTTCAATTGCTCTCTGATCAAATAACTGTATTGACTTGACCTGTGTGAATAGAGTTTGTGTTGGCGATTTTACTAGTTAAAATGTCCATATCGAAATGCCATCGACAAAAAATTGCGAGCACTTGTACACGTTGAAATGATACATTTTCTATAGATTATGTTGGGGGCCAATTCGATGTCCACAAAAGGCGGTTAACACGCTAAAGGTTGTTACAGGTAAAAGCCCTTTGTTCCAGCAATTCGAACCCACTGCCGATTGTAGCAGACGTAAACATAGGAAATATTTTGGAAATTTCTTAAACCATCACAAAGAAGAGAACACATCAACAGCCCACTAGACAAGCTCACTTCTTTTCTGAAAAAATTACTAACACAGACAAAGGCTAGCCTCCGTAGCAGGCTTATAGAACTGGGGGTTTGGTGTAGCCTGGTATCCAGCCTTGTTAGCTTTAGTCCGCTACCCAAGATCCGCTCCCCGCCAACAATTGTGCGGGGAGCGGATCTTGGGTAGCGGACTAAAGCTAACAAGGCTGGATACCAGGCTAGGTCTTCGGCTGTTTTCTGATTAGCCCCGCCGTTCTTAAAAACGGGGGTAATTCAACCAGGCCATCTATGTTGTCTATATGCTATCAGAAAATAGCGCATAAAATCTCCCAAAGACCCTGAAGACCCCCCAAACCCCCAGTTTTTGCCATGCTATGGAGGCTAGACAAAGGCTAGCTATTGGGACCCCCAATAGCAACAATCACCCACGTGCACAAACATGTGAGTGTACTTGTGAATTCACACAGGTTCACTGTAACAACACCGCTTCAACCACTCCGTATTGTTTGTTATCGCGGGGCCAGACTTAACAGAAGTAGTTTAAGTGAGGCTGTTGAAAATATTCCAACAACACTGAACGTTTTTAAGCCTTTCATAGGCTTGTTGCACCTGCAGCTTATAGATTTTAAGTCAACAACCGGCATTGAGCTTACATAATATACTAGATAACGATTGCCACAATAATGCACGTTAATGACAGAATTACTCAAAACAAGAAAGAAATTCAGGTGTACAGAAAAAAACTCAACCAACAGGCCAGCAGTGGCGTTAAGGTTTGAAAATTAACGGACGTCGTGAGTTCAAGTGCGGGTCACCGTGTTGAATGTGAACTTGGCCGTGACGGTTGTAGGGTTTTCAAGTGTTTACGCAATTGCACTTGTGACTTTCTTAGCAACAACAATTAAGGCAGGAGAACGCGGATGTTTGGGCAAATTGTGGGCAAATGTTTCCACTTGTGAGCCTGTAGAGGACCTAGTTGATCTGGCTTAACTCTTGAGTAATCCTTCTGGTGTTTTTGGAATTACTGCTGTCGTATTTATCATATGGTAGGATCGAGGATTTGTTTACAAAGTGGTCTACATGGCTTTTGTTGTGTATTTAAGGTCTCGAAGACGGCTAGACGACGAATAAAATACGACGTCTAATAAATTGTACTCTAACCCCTTATAAATATCTGGATTAGAGAGGCTGGATTAGTAGTAGGGGTAGCCTCTACCAGGCTTCGGGAGGCGGCTGAAAAGAGTAGAAATTGGCCATGTATACAGAAAACATGCCGAGGGAGTTGGTCCGCTAGACAGTACATTTTGCCGCCTCACGACGCCTGGTAGAGGCTAGGTTAGTGGTAGGTTAGTGGGTAACAATCTTTGAAATCGCTTCAAACCTTTCGACTGATCAGAGTTTAAGGTTCACTTAGAAAATTCCCCGGTGGTTGTATAAACCTAAAAATTTTCGCCGGCCATCCCGAACACCTCGGCAACACCAGTTAATTAAACTGAAGAACTGTTAGTTATCGGATAAATATCCCGGTAGCATACAATTGCTGGATAACAACATTCCTTCTAATCTTAACAGGAAGGAAGGGGCGGGCGTTCTAAACTCCTTTTTGTGTCCAGCATCGTTATTTATCCAGAACCATGCCTCGATAGTCCACGCGTATCCAGAACCGTGCTTTATCCAGAACCATGCTCAGACACGGATCTGGATAGTCCACGCGTATTCAGGATACGTTCTTGGATACGCGAAGACTATCCAAAACCCTATTAAACCCATTCAGGCATAGAACTAGACAGGTACGGTTTTGGATACAATACTCCGAATCCCCTACCTAGACAGGGTGCCAGACTGTTTTTCCAGGGCCTACACAGGACAATTTCTCGGCTCCAGGGCCAACATGCCCCCATGGAAATTTTCCCCTCAGTTAGGCCCTGATCCACAGGCTAATAACTCTGGGCCTAGTGTGTTATGGGTCTGGCAACCCCTAGAAGGCTATTCTACGTTACAGATGTTTTGTTATAGCCTTTACCAGGCACCGTGGACCGCTGGAAAAATAGTAGAAATTGGCCGAAATAAAGGGATAGTATACCAGAGAACGTGAATTGGATCTTCTATGGCCCGGGATCTTCTATGGTATACTATCCCTTTATTTCGGCCAATTTCTACTATTTTTCCAGCGATCCGCGGTGCCTGGTAGAGGCTAGTTTTGTTAGCCTCTAGTGCAGGTGTGCTGCTGGCCAAAAACAATCCTAGGGTAACTATAGCGGTCACCAAGGACGCCACACAAAGACTTTAGTCCCCAACAACTTCCCAATTGCGATCAGGCTTGTTGACCAAATTTCTGCCGCACCAGGCTCCGCGCAAGGTCCAAACTTTCAACAGGTTCATTCGATGGTCAATATTTACCCGCCATTATAGATGTTTTAACCGCGTTGGTACACACACGGGCTGCATGGGCGGGTTTAATGCAATTCTTGTTAAATGGTTGGTAGTGGATAAATTCTATCCTACCAGGCTTCGGGAGGCGGCTGGAAAGAGTAGAAACTGGCCAAATAGAGAGATAACATGCCAGGGGAGTTGGTCCACTAGAACAAACTTTGCCGCACCCGAACTGTGCTCTCTAGCGGACAAACTCAGCTGGTATGTTATCTCTCTATTTGGCTATATAAATTCAGATGGAGAACACAATGGGCCTTTCTACGGGAGTACGGATTGTAAAATCCGGCAAAAAAAAAGAGATTATAACTGGCCAGGAGAGTTTATTCGCGGGAAATTTATACTTTTCCCTACTGCACGGGGAAATTAACTCTACGGTGGCTCAATTATGTCTTTAACGACCCAAAATCTTGACAGTGTATATGAAATATATTTACTTTTACAGTTTTACTGCATTCATGCCACAACTTGCAGTACTTACGGTGTCCGGAGGTGGCGCTTTTTCGTTGTACCAGCATGTTGACCACCCCTGTGAAACTGAGTGTGTTCTTCCAAAATGGCGCGGGTATTTTGACTTTTTCATTGTGAGTCTTACAATAATTGTGCCTGTATCTAACCATGAGGATAGCTACCGTCTTCATTTTCGCTTTCCTGTACGCTTCATGTTTACTAGATGGAGTTGCGGCAACTAACGGTAAGAAACTACTGGCAAAGTAGACGTTTAATAGACATAAAGTATAATACCGTGCGCATTTTTTGTGGGGAGGGGGTAGCCGTGGCGACTCTTGATTCGTAATGCAATGTAAGCCCGAATCAAGAGTCGCCACGGCTAGCACAACTGTGTTGCTCGATGCATAATCATTTTGCAAAGTTTCTGTTACGCATTCATGTTCCCAGAAGGTACAACATGAGTTAGTTAAATAAGTACAGAAAGATCTAGGCATGTGGATGTAGCACTACATGTCTGGTAATTCTGTACTCTGGTGACAAAGAATGTAACAATGGAACATCAACAAATTATGTTGTATCTCTTCAGGCTCATTACATGGTGTCTATATAAGTTAGCTTGCAGCATTTGATGTAAATCCCGACCAAGAATTATGGAGCAGAGTATCTACAACTGCTATACATTGTGCTGCGAATTTTTAAAAAAAATGCAAAAAGAATGTGAAATACCATTCAATTTAAAAGTGTGTTTTTTTAAATTTTTTTTATTTGATTTTATCCAATAATGGGAGTGTTTTTTTGTTTGTATTATCCAGCTGACTACAGATTTGTGATGTGGACAGATGAGACCTTAGATGCCAACACTACAGTCTCCAACACACTCTTTGCTCAGGGAGAAAACATGGTGATCCTATACTCCTCACATTAGTATATACTGTAGTGGTAACTAAACAATTTCTAAACTGCAAGTATTACATTTAGGTACAACTTCTTCAAAGCTCCTTTTAGTCACATCTAATTTCTTATGACCAAGCTCCAGAAGGCTGGTGGTTGGGAAGAGTAGAAGTAGAACTCGAAATTGGCCAAGTAGGCATAGTTGGTCCACTAAAAGACTGCTTCTGAGTGGCAAACTACATGTACATACACTTCAGCTAAGCAGATCTAGAGTTTAGTCCGCTTCCAGTTGTTGCCACTAGGCTAACCAGACTGGATTCAACTTTCAAGGCTACTATTGCTTATGCTAGATCCTGATTTGTGTGTGACACTTTGTTTTAGACCATGTATTGCTGGCTGATCGACCCAGCTGTTGACACCCCAGAGAAGAGACAGTCTCTGTTTAACACACACTCAGCTCTGGGCCAGACTCCTGCCCTCACTGTATACAACAGGACATGGAGTCAGACTTTCCACTTTCCAGCTGTAAGTTGCTGTTGTTGTCCTTGTTTAATGTCTAATATCTTGCCAGACGTGGTCTCTTGGTGCTAGTTTGCACTTGGTTCAGTTCAGAGTCAACTTGTCTCTCTAGGTATTTAAACTCTTGGTGCCATGTGCTTGCATGCATACTCTCGATGTACCGGGAGAGGGCTAGGTACATCTGTTTGTTCACTGTTTTAAGAAGGCTCATTCTGGCTAAGGTGATGAGATAACATTAACTTTGTTTCTTAATCCACATTAGACAAACCAGTCCAACTCAACTGTCATGTCTTGGGAGCTGACAATCCCCACAACAGAGTTCAGTCACCAAGGTAGGTCAAAAATTTTATACTGAGCTTCTAAGTTCTATTCACATTTTCTTGGATGAAAAAGAAGTAAGAAAGTATTAATGAAACATTCGGTATAAGCCTCTATTTTGTCTCAAACCATTGAACAAGTTTGCATTTTTCGATTGTTTCAGACAAAACCCCAACAGAACAGTGGAGAGTGTCGGTATCCATGGACCAAGGAGAATTTCTCACTCAGGGTTCTCTGCTACATCTACAGAGAGGTGGGTGGGTTGCTGTAAACATTTTTAATTCGTAGAAGGAAAACATATTACTCTGTCTCTTCTTCAATGGTCACAAAAGAACACAAAAGGTCAATGACCTGGACCAGAGGGCTGTCACCATGGTAACTGGTGATGTAACAGACACCCCAAAAAAACAACAACTCTGTGTCTTACTTTACAGTATAGTGTCACGTGCATTAAAATTTTTCATCTTTAGCAAATGTTTACTCATTTAAAAATACACCATACAAATGTTTACTCATCTTCACTCACTCATTCATGCATCCATCTATTCATATATTCACCCCTTCCTCTCCCCACAGAGCCCATCCTACACTGGTTGCTAGGCGACCGTCTCCCAGCCCCACCCGTCCTGTGGGAGGGGGACACAGAACAGCTGGTCATCACTAAGAGCCCCTGTTCTCCTGATGTGGCCGTTCTGGGAGTGGCAGAAAATAACACATCCACTGGTATCAATATGTACATTTTGTCAATAAACCGTGTTTGATTGATTGATTGATTGATTGATTGATTGATTGATTGATTGCGCCAAAAAGCAGTTACTCAAGCAACTAGATATGATTTTGAAAACAGTCAGGTAGCATCCACTACCTTTCGTCAGTGACTGAGAGACCAGAGGAGAAATGCAGGTTTATAAGCACAAACTCTTGATTGATATGCAAATAAAGTGAAGACAATATTTCGAGAGTCGAAAAGGGAACAAAAGTCAGACAAGTCAAGACAAGATAATGCTCCTGATTGATTGATTGATTGATCAATTGATCGATTTGATTGAACATCTACTCATACAACAAGGAAAACTGATGTTAGAACGGATAGTGAGTCTGTGTGTGTGAGGCTGTGAGTTTCTCCAATGATAATTTCTTAATCCTTTTAGTCAACAAACCTGCTCGGCTGTAAATGTGAAAGTGCGAAAGAATTTGCCTTCAATTTTTTTTCCCTTTTTCAGGAGTCGTGTTAGCTGTGACGTACCACCGCTTCGAGGATAATTATACCACATGGTTCAACATAACACAGAACCCCAGTCTCTGTAACATCTCTACAGGTCAGTTACTTCTCAAGGCTTGAATTACTACCTGCATATGCACCTTAGTGCAAGTAAAATTATAGGTTAGTTAATCTCAAGGCTGGAAATCTCACCTGCATTCTGAGCCTTTTATTTCAGTTTGAGGAAGACTGAAAAAAGGAAGAAGGCACCTTCACAATAACCATTTCAGCACCAAGGACAGATACCATTATGAAATTATTTTTGGTTTCACCTTCTTCCTTTCCAACTTCTGCAGTAACAACAAAATCCACATGAAATCTATAGCCACTGAATCTGTATCTGTATCAGTATAGCCGGTATAACCACCCTTCGGCGTAACACACCAGCTATATGGTCAAGCTTATGGTATATGGTCAAGCTTATGGTGTATGGTCAAGAATAACAATGGTCAAGCTTTGCTTTTAAAGATTTAAAATCAAAGCTATATGTTCTTTACCAATCAGAACCTTTGATACAAGAACGATCTTTTCCAACTTCTGTTTCAGACTGTTCTTCGCTGCGATTGGTCGATATGATGCTGACCAATCATCACCTGCTTCTCCTGACCAACCAGGGCCTGTTTGTAAGCAGGGACCTGATTGGCTGGGACAGTCTTGCCCAGGTTCGGTTCCTCAGTACACCCATCAACAGTCTTATGTCAGCCGACTTCCAGGTAGATATTACTGTCTTAAACTCTTTCATATAACTGCAAAGTCATTTGATTTCACTGTATGTAGATATCTGTATCTGTATAGCCAGTATTACTGCCCTTCGACGTAACACCAGCTTCACGTTACACCTAACCCTTGAACACTTTAAAGCAAAGTCAATGATCTCAGAATTTGTCTGGGAGCCAGAGGTAGACATGGGGACCTATTTTAGACACCTTTCAACTCTCATATTCAGTGGTCTGTTTGTACATGTTTCCAGGCAGGTAATGTGAGCAGGACCAACACCCGACTCTGGAACACACCTGAGTGTGAGTCTGTCACACCTGGACACACACCTGGTAAGGCATTCTCACCTGAGAAGTATTTAAGTATACTACCTAGAACACCAGAATGTAGGCAGAATATACTATGGCTGAAACTACCTATACCATAATATTCTGTGCAGAACACTTGGACAGAATGTCTCATTTAAGATCGTGTTCACATATTTAAAGATGACATCCCGTCTATAGTTTGCAAATGTTGTGTCCTAAAAGATATCGTCTGCAGCAGGCCATATTCTGATGCAACATTAACTAAACTTCCAAGCGAAAGCAGTTTTGCATGGGTGCAGTACATTCCGCCAACATGCTACTAAGAGCACACCTTGTCATTTTAGCATTCTGCTATTTGTAAATGTACAAGACTTGATTTAGGCTCTGATATTAGAATAGGAAATCAGAAAAGATATTAAACAAGTTTTCAAGTGCAGGATTCTGTTTTTGCTTCCAGCTGATCATGTGATCATTACCCATCAGCCTCCAGTAGGGTCAGAGGTCAGGTTGGCTAGTTGAGGATATGTTCCCAAAAGTTCACTGTTCCTGCAAATGGAGCATTTCTTAAAGGAAATAATATTTGCCACATTTTTGTTCCTGGTAGCTGAAATTTAGAAGATGTTTCTGATGTTTTGTGCTACACTGGTTGACCAATATTCATACAAATGTTGCAAGACACAATAATACAATTCATTCATTCATTCATTCATTCATTCATTCAGTACTAATCCTTCTTCAGCAATTACTGGTATATGCATATACTTGTATATTCTAGAGAATGGTTTTTGATGAAACAACAGAATTTTGATAACCCAAGAAATATGAAGTCCCTTTAAGTTAGTTCTTAAAATGACAGAATGGTTTTATTTCCAGACCAACAGCAGCAGTTACTACAGCACAGCTCCCTACATGACATGGCAGACCCTGTCACCCCCGGGGACAGCTGACAGTGGTACAGTCCTGGCTGCTGCTTACGACATACAGAAGGACTACTTTGTCATCCTCAAACAAACTCAGGTCAGATGTGATGAAACTTTCTATCATTCTTCATTGTCAAGCAAATGTTTGTGACAATCAGTAGTGACGGTCACTGATATAGAAGATCTGAATACAGTAGTCAGTGGTATTTTTCAAACTTTATTTCATCAAACAAAATCACAGGCAAAGAATGCAATGTTGTATGAAAAACCAATATGGTACTTAAAATTTCTCTAATTTTGAACAAAAAGTGAGTTGTCAAACAGGGACATTTTTATTGGCAACTTATTTGGAACTTTAACCACACACACCAAAGTGCCTAAATTGTCTTGAAATGTCAGAAATCACGGCGTATGTCTAAGCTTAATGATTTTTATGAGGAATACATCAATTAAGGCTATAGCCATTAGTGCTAATTTACTTTTCCTGCATAGCAGCTTTCGTCAGTGTATGAGACCTTTTACCAATCATCTTAAACTATCTAAATCTATTTAAGACAAAGAAACCTTGCAGTCAGATTTACTAAGAATAAAAGCACCATACTATGGGCTTGTCTGTACATTTCCAAACCTCTACAACACCATAAACATGCTGAACAAATTCATAAACCTTTAAAATTAGAGCTCTTTGCATACCTCTAAACCTGAACAACACCATCAACTTTTTTTGTCAAATAGAGTTCTCTGTTAGTACTACAGTTACGTAACAGTAACATCTCAGTCCACTTCATGTTCATCTGACTTGTCGGAGTGGGATCCATCACAGGAGCTGCTCACATCGATGTACAGCTCACTCCTCTTGTGCTTCTTCTCCGCTGTCATCTTCATCAATTCCTTTTCCCAGCGCGGATGTAGCTAAAATTTAGAAAATGTCTCTGACAGTTTTGTGCTGCGTGAGTTCTGTATCTGTTTCTGTATAGCCGGTATAACCACCCTTCGGCATAACACACCAGCTTTACAGCTGGCAGCTGGCTACATTACACCAAACGACTTGTTACACCTAAGCCTTGAACATCTATACAACTCTAAACTATCTAATGATAATGCCCCTATAGCTACTGTTCTTGGTGACATAGTACATTGTACATCTCAGTCGACTTCATCAGACTTGTCAGAGTGGGATCCATCGCAGGAGCTGCTCACATCAATGTACAGCTCACTCCTCTTGTGCTTCTTCTCCGCTGCGATGCTCCCACCGTCATCTACATCAAACTCGTCCCAGCGTGGATGCGGGATGACCGGAATCTTCTCCTCTTCATCCGCATCTTCCGCATCGTCCTCCATCGCTTTCTCAAAGTCCCACTCGTATTTATCCGAGTCGTCTGACTCCACGATCTTCAGAGGGTTGTCCACAGGCTTTCTTGACTTCTTCCTCTTGGGTTTGGTGGTGATGACGTCTTCTGTAGATTCCTTGCTGGTTTGAGTGCCATTAGTGAGTGACGACAGTGGTTTGTGTGTATCGTAGTTGTCAGCTGTGGATGGCTTTGCTGTGTATGGGAAGTTAAGAGACTCACTGTTGACCTGTTGTGCTGACTCTTTGCTGGTTGTAGTACCGTTAGTGAGAGTTGGCTGTGGATTATACGGATTGTCGTCATCCGTAGCAATATATGGCTTGGCTGTGTCTGAAGAAGAAGAAGAATTGAACTTTATTTGCTTTTGCCTCATATGGGCCATGGCAACAAATATACATACAATCATACAGTCATACAATAGATAAAGAAATCAAACAAAAGTTTAAAGTTATAAGTCAGCTAATAGAATGAATCAACTAAATAACATAGAAGAAAATGTAACTGAAATCAAATTCGAATTAAGGTCTCAATCAAAAGGAATGTAACTTCTAAACACTCAGTTGGTCTCTCCCCATAACATAAGGATCAAACTAAGAATAATCAACTCAAAATTAAAAAAAATGGGGAGAGTACTAGTATAAACGGCTTTGTGCTTACATGTGTCTGGGAAGTTTAGAGACGACGTTGTTCTGTTCAAGTCCAGATTCTGTAGGTTGAGGCTGAGTAGGGACGTTGCCGGGCTGTTGGAGAGAGAGGAGCGGTCGTCTTCTTCGTCATGGTCAAGGTCGTATGTGTGCACAAGGTCGCTCTTGGGGAGGAAGGTCTCGGAGAAGGTCAGGTCGTCCACGCGCTGGTTCAGGACCGCGATGTGGCCGCGGTGTTCCGTAAGCTCACGGCGCAGCTCGGCGTTCTGGGGGAAGGATAGAGAATTTGCCCACAATGCAAAAGATATCAAACACATCTTATAAGGACTAATATTACGGTAGTGTCTATTGTTTAGTTCATATCTGATTTACACTCAAGATTGCATAGTATATATTATGACTTCATAATAATATGAATGAATTATTGAATGAAAGACCTCTATTGTACATAAAGTATGCTCTTACAAGCTAAGTACAGGTCACGGCAATAAAGTTCTCATTGTTTTATTACACAATGAGACAAGCCTAGTATCTTTTCCTTCCTCAGTATACTAGTATGTACAGGTTCAACTTCTTCTTGCTTCTTAATTAAAAGACAGTGCTGTAACTGAAAGAACAGAATAGCTGATACAATAATGATAATTTAGTCAAACACAGAACATGTGACCAACAGATATCAAAATTTCCCAAGCTGTGACCTCTGACCTTTTTCTGTAGTTCGTTGAAGCTGCCCCCCTCCTCAGCCCCGATGAGGTCGGCCATGCTGCGCTTCAGCCCTGCCAGTCTGACTATCCGGCTCTGCAGGCGCGCCTCCAGGTCCGCCATGGCCAGCCGTGTCTCATTCGGCATGGTTATGTTAGTACTGGCTGGGGAAGAATAAAAATAAATTAGCACAGGTGTTATTATCAGCCATGCTGCGCTTCAGACCTGCCAGTCTGACTATCCTGCTCTGCAGGCGCGCCTCCAGGTCCGCCATGGCCAGCCGCATCTCGTTCGGCATGGTGACTGGGGAAAAAAACGACAAATTTTCCTAACTGTTCAACTGTCAAGGAAAAGCTCACTGAGTGTGTGTGTTATCTACAAAGACTGGAGTTGTACTGTGAGTTCAAAATTTGGGGCAGTCCAATTTATTGTGTTGCAGATTACAGCTAAAAACTTTTTTCATAGCAAGATGGAGCTTTGGTATTAACAAAGTCAGTCAAAAAGTTAACTATAGATTACGGCACACAGAATGCAACTAGGAGAGTCTAGAGACCACCATTTGTGCATGAACCATCACAGTTCAATGACGTACACATCGTGTACCTTCATATCCATCCAGCAATGTTGAAGGTACATGTACATTCATTGAAATGTGGTGGTGACAAGTGATTGTTTTCACAAAACACAAATTAGTTATTGAATTACAGCTGTAACCAAATATATGATATTACCAATTTCTACTTTCTAATTTGGCATACATGCTATACAATTATGGAATTAAGGACACTGTTTTTTCTGAGTTTTCTTGGTCTAGATATGGATACAATGATTCTTCTGTCCAATTAACAAAGCCATATCACCTCACTTGCAATGGCCAATGTGTTTAAAGAAACAGAATCTGATAAGAGTTGAGCTTTAACTGTAACATTGAGGTTATATTACATTGAAGTCTAGACTGCCTTCTTGTGCACAACTACTTAACTACATAATAGGACACAATAAGAATTAGGAACAATAGTCAGAGCAGCCAAAGTGTCCCCCCATATAGACGGGCAACTGTGATAGGTTAAACCCCTTCCAACCACTTGTAAACAACCCCCATTGTGAAACATATAGGTTGCCCATTAACTGATGGGGTTCCATGTTTTGGTTTCGACCAACCGGATGGCCCGACACAAAGGTCGTGTGTCGTTTGGTACATGTTTATCTCCTATAGGTCACGGGGTCACGCTGGTGTGGATTTCAGCTAGGGAGATATAGGCCTTACTGACGCTGGGTAAAATGGAGAAAAAGCCTTCATCTGTATTTCAAGTTTCTGGAAGAAATGTGTCTCACTGATTCTTAAGGTCTAAAATTCAGCTGGATATTAATTTATTATAGCATCCATCAAAAGTTACTTTTAGTAGCAGCATGCATACATGTACATGTACTAAAGACTGCAAGACTTGAAGGCCACTCAGTTTTACTTTTTGATCCTAATTAATTAAACACATACAGCTATTATGTACTTCAACCTGCATCTGACTCTTCTGGACCAGACTTCTGAAGTCTAGAATCTTAAGAGGCATTCCTTTTCCTGATTCCTACTTAGTTTAAGAAGTCTCAAAGTGTCAACAGCTTTTATGATTCTTTTTGTGGCCCTGTATTTTCCATCATAGCGTATATCCATTAAATGAGGCAATCAGAGATGGCAGACTTCAAGCAGACAAAAACACCAGCACTGCAGTGGCAAGGCTGCAAGGATGCAAAATGTAGTTCCCAGCAAGACATTTTCAACAGTCAGGCCTTTGCAACTTGTAAATGTACGCAGCTTAAGAAGTCACCCACCTGTGCCATAGTTTACAGTTCTGCTAGAATGCATGGTTACTTAAACCTATACACACACACACATACACACACATGCATACACACACACACACCAAGAGTAACATAATTCTGCTTACCTCTAAACACTTGCCAACGGGTCCTTCAAGTTTAAAATCAGCCTTATCAAGCTCCCACTTCTTTTTCCCTGCTACCTGTAGTAAGAGCACTTTCCGAGTGAGGACCACACAACTTTAGAAAGCGTGGCTGGGTCACTGGTGTACATAGATATCTGTGGGTACAACAATGGTGCCACTGAGGTGTCAGGTTAAAGGGCGGGGATGGGGGTTACCGGGATGGTGGTTTACTGTTTCATGGATTGTTGAAAGCCGCTCAGGAGTGAAGCCACTGAATGAAAGCGTGACATAAAGTAAACAACATTATCAGGTCCAACCTTTTAGAGAGTGCACCAATGCTAGTACTCTCCAAGCAGAGGTTGTGGGGGAATGATCATTAGCTTTTTATATATATGGCCGTTTTTTTGTTGCTACCCACCCGTCGGTGGCTGGTGACCTTCTCTCAGCTAATAGAGACTGCCTGGCCAATTTGATACTGTCTTTGTGCCACCAAAAGGGATCTGCTTGGAGATTACAATGCTAGCACTGTTTGGATGGTGTTATATATACTAAGACAAAACTGAGTGGATAAAAGTGTTAAAGGATGACTTTCATCGTCTACATGTAGGAGGATTGTGTGTCTTAAGTGTAAATGAACAAGTGATGAACAAAGCATCATTTATCACTAACTGACTGATTGTAATACCTTTTACATTAAACTTTCGGTCTGACGTAGGGTATGTGATGGTTTCTTAACCTCTTAACAAAGACCTTTGAAAAAATTCTAATGTTTGAATAAAAACCCTCCCTGCTGCTGACTTGATTCTTCCTTTATAGCATTTAAAAGGTGCAGCTTCTGTATCTGTGTAGCCGGTATAACCGCCCCTTGGCATAGACACACCAGCTTTGCAGGCACGTGGCACAGCAGCAGCTAGCTATTATGCTACATAACACTGTACAACTTGTTACACCTAACCTTTGAACATAATATATATAATTTATGTTTATTGATTTATCGTAAAAAATCTCAAGTACATGGCAGCGCCGCCAAGGGCGCTGATTTGCATACTTGCGTTAGTTCTAGGAAAAAACAATCATCATACATCCTGAGCACTGCTATGGTCTGAAAGACTGAAAAGGTCATGGGGTGAAGTCTGACTGCGTTGTTGCATTTATTCCCCTACAGGAAGGCCTGAGAGTGAGTGTGGTGTACAGGAGGGGGTCAGCTGTAACCCCCTGCTGAGTTACCACCCAGCTTCACCCCCTCAGCTCCACCCCCTCAGCTCCACCCCCTGAAACGGTCACAAAATACATATGGTTAAGGGGGTGAAGTCTGCCATCTCAGACTGCCTTGTTGTGGTAATTCCCTACAGGAAGGCCCGAGAGTGAGTGTGGTGTCCCGTACAGGAGGGGGTCAGTTGTACCCCCCTGCTGAGTTACCCCCCAGCTTCACCCCCTCAGCTTCACCCCCTAAACTTCACCCCCTCTGGACTGGCCTTCCATTCTGTCAGAATGATTGTCATATACATCCTCAGTACTCTGCTATTGTCTGGAAGACTGAAAGGGTTACAGGTAAAATCTGCTGATAATCTCCAAGCAGATCCTACGGTGGCAGTACCCATTGGCCAGAAGAGTGTCCTTTGGTGGCTAATGGACACTCCTCTGGCCAATGGATACTGCCACCGTAGGATCTGCTTGGAGATTTTTAAGTCTGCCATCTATGACTGCGTCGTTGCATTTGTTCCCAACAGGAAGGCCCAAGAGTGACAGTGGTGTCCCGTACAGGAGGGGGTCAGCTGTACCCCCCTGCAGAGTTACCCCCCAGCTTCACCCCCTCTGGACTGGTCTTCCATCCTGTCAACCACTTCCTCTATGCCTACGGATCACAAGTAGGGGTCATCTTAGAAGCTAAGAATGAATTTTTATGGATGGAAGATCATATTACATGTATAATTAAAAGAGTAATGTTGTAAATATTTTTCATTCAAGCTTATAATGTTAAATCCTGCCATAGTGATACCGGATAAATTTTCTGAAAAGTAAGACATTTCAGATACATTTGTACTGTCTAGTAGCATCCACTACCAGTATCTTCAATCAGTGACTGAGATACTGTTGTTATAAATGGGTATGTTACTGTGTGGTGGAGTGTATTTGAATGTACAATGTACCTGTATAGCTGGAATTACTGCGCTTTGGCGCAACACAGCAGCTTCACAGGCATGCAGCAACTGGCTATTTTACACGTACACTGAACAACTTTCAGTATATACAATGTACATAAAATATTACCTAGTCAGCGGTAACACCATCTCTGTCCTTTCCCCAGGTGTTTGTGTCCTTAGACGGGGGAAGTTCCTTCAGCTGCATCCTCAGCCTCAGGACTGGCCAGTCGGTGACCACCTTCGCTGCCGATGTGCATGATGAGGCTGTTGCCATGGTTACTAACGATGGAGCCATGTTCTATGGAACTGCAGGTAATAAATCAAATTGAACTTTATTGACACAAGTACAGCGACTTTCATAAGGTCTGAAACTACATGTAGATATACAGACAAATACGTACTAGGTATAACGAAATTAACCTACGTATAAAACAATAGATGGGTCAACTTATACTACTTGTTCTAAGGTCTAAACATTCTTTGATATATTTACCTATTTGTACTCAGTACAAAATATGTTGAACCGATTTACATGTGGGCAAAAACCTGAGGGTATTTAAACTACAAACGCACACCTGTGCACAAAAACTGTGTTCATCAAATTTTTCCTGCATGTAAATCGGCTTGCTTTAATTTGACGCATGTCAAGGACGTACCTTTAGATCATATGCCAGCACTTGAAGGAACATACGATATGGAAGGATATAATCTTAAAGGATGCATAAAAAATTGGTCACACTGTTCGAAATCATATTCATACTGTACATTAGATATGAAGATCAGAAATTCAGCTAAATAGTATTGAAACATATTTAGTATTATTAGACAAGTCTACTACAACTATAAAATTACAAAGATTAATTCCTGACATTTTCAGTGACATCCGTAACTCTTCTTCACTTAAATGAACTTACAGGGCATTCATAGTTAACTGTGAGTTTGTTTTTCTTCCAACTGAAGGTATTCCCAGGATGTCAGAAGTACTCCAGGCGGAGGTACCAGGTACCGCAGTCCTGGTGGACAACACTGGACAGTGGTACCAGGTCAGGGTCAACAGCAGTACTGGTTAACTGTGAGTTTGTTTTTTTCCCAGGTATTCCCCGGATGTCAGAAGTACTAAAAGCGGAGGTACCAGGTACCGCAGTCCTGGTAGACAACACTGGCCAGTGGTACCAGGTCAGAGTCAACAGTAGTACTGGTTAACTGTGTGTTTGTTTTTTTCCTCAGGTATTCCCAGGATGTCTGAAGTACTCCAAGCAGAGGTACCAGGTACCGCAGTCCTGGTGGACAACACTGGCCAGTGGTACCAGGTCAGGGAAACAGTAGTACTGGTTAACTGTGAGTTTGTTTTTTGCCTTAGGTATTCCCCGGATGTCAGAAGTACTACAGGCAGAGGTACCAGGTACCGCAGTCCTGGTGGACAACACGGGCCAGTGGTACCAGGTCAGGGGGAACAGCAGTACTGGTTAACTGTGAGTTTGTGTTATTCCCCAGGTATTCCCCGGATGTCAGAAGTACTCCAAGCGGAGGTACCAGGTACCGTAGTCCTGATGGACAACACTGGACACTGGTACCAGGTCAGGGGGAACAGCAGTACTGGTTAACTGTGAGTTTGTTTTTCAGGTATTCCCCGGATGTCAGAAGTACTGCATGCGGAGGTACCAGGTACTGCAGTCCTGGTGGACAACACAGGCCAGTGGTACCAGGTCAGAGCCAACAGTAGTACTGGTTAACTGTGAGTTTGTTTTTCCTTAGGTATTCCACGGATGTCAGAAGTACTCCAAGCAGAGGTACCAGGTACCACAGTCCTGGTGGACAACATTGGTCAGTGGTACCAGGTCAGAGTCAACAGTAGTACTGGTTAACTGTGAGTTTGTTTTTCCTTAGGTATTCCACGGATGTCAGAAGTACTCCAAGCAGAGGTACCAGGTACCACAGTCCTGGTGGACAACATTGGTCAGTGGTACCAGGTCAGGGGAAACAGTAGTACTGGTTAACTGTGAGTTTGTGTTATTCCCCAGGTATTCCCCGGATGTCAGAAGTACTCCATGCGGAGATACCAGGTACCGCAGTCCTGGTGGACAACACAGGCCAGTGGTACCATGTCAGGGGGAACAGCAGTACTACTGGGGTACATGCGGAGGTGGTGGACATCACAGCAGGGATACAGGTAAGGGGAAATATCATATTTTATATTCAAAATCAACAGAACCTGCTGGAGAGCAGCAATCAGGCCAGGGCAACATTCCACGTCCAACCCTCGAGCAACGGGGACCACGAGACATTAAACTGATAGTGAGTGAGTGAGTGAGAACTTTCTTTTCTCCCAGGGTTGACCCTTAATAAAATAGTCTACGACTAGTTGGGCAGCCCTGGTTGTAGTAAGCCAAAATCATATCCAGTTGCTTGAGTAAATGTTTTTTGGCGTATATTATTACCTGTCTAACCTTCACCGACGTATCAATGATGAAAAAGGTTTAATAATATTTGATGATTAGGATTTTATTCCTCAGAAAATTTGTGTAGTTTGTTTAATTTGAGAATGGCATCTATTTTAAATTACAGAGTGCAGACACATCGTTTGTGCGACCCCTGATCCCCCAGTTCCTGTCAGCTGACACCATTGTGTTCCACGAGCACCAGCAGCTGCAACGTCCGTGGGAGACCGCAGGGGATGGTCTCACCTCAGGGTTCTCCCAGCTTCATGTGGGACAGAAACTTCAACTCAGGTACTAGTATTTCAGAGCAGGAGTCATTTTATAGGTTCACACCAGGACCACAGAATTTTGTTTCTTCTTTTTTCTTTGGTTCTTAAACATATCCCAGCAAAAGATTCATGAAGAGGCAAAGATGAAAACATGCCAGGAGAAAAATTTGTCTCTGACTGTGACACTACCTGATACTGTGTGTCCCCTCAAACTTTAGAGTTTTCTAGACATATATATATTAGATAATAATAAGTGTTGATCTTCTGTTTCTGGATCTGTATAGAAATATGTGAGCTGACAAGCAAGTTTTATTAGTGTGGTCTAAACCTGCAAGTATTTACTGCGACACCTTAAGTAAGATAAATTTTTTACAGACAACACTACCTTTTGAGGGAATATGACTTGTAAAAGAAAACTTTAAGCAACTTTAAGTTAGTAATCCGTGTTTTATATTTTTTGTCTGTCCCCCAGCACATCAGGCTCAGCACTGATCACCCAGGTGACAACAGAGCACAGAATGGACAACTACACTGCCTGGGCACGGGCGCATGTCTTCAAACCTTTTCAGTTCGAGAGACTATCTGAGAGCCCAGCTCAGGCATACAGTGTGGGTGAGTCAGTTTATATGATAAATTATATATCTATTGACTGTAATTAAGGTTTTGCCTTGTACAGAAAGTTTCCATGATTTGTCAAATTTTGTTTGATTTAATAAATTGATTGAATTGATTGAGAAATTATGTTCCTTGATGTGATCAATGACAAATTTGTCTAGCAAAAACATTTGTCCACACACATATGATAGTAACCCTTGTTCTGTTTCAGAGGTTGCCTGTGAGAGTAACGGAAAGTCTCTCCTAACCCTACAGAATGTAGGAGGTATGTTATATTTTGTTGCAAAGTTCTGATGAATAAAAGACATGTACACTTGATTTTTATTAGGATTGCCACACTGCAATACACCATGCATTGAGCACAAGCCAATATGGTATAGAGCACCACACACTGACAAAAACATTAGAACGGCCAGTTTGTTTATTTGTTTGTTTGTTTGTTTCCCCAGGCTCCACGGGTTGGCTGTTCTCCGACATAGGGAAGTCGTTGGTTGTTGCCACCGGCAACAACCACCTGTTGACGGAGCTGGTTACCACGACGACGGCCCGAGCTGACCCCGTGATGACCTGTAAGGGCGTGACCCTCCCAGCAGGCCTGTGGCAGCTGTATGACTTCAGCAGTTACACAGAACATGCTACTGTGTACGACCAGGTAATACTAGTCACTCTTGTTTGAAGTTAAAACTTAAGATCCAACACAAAGAAGTTCTCTCACCTAGAGCTTTCAACCAGTCACTCTGGTCTTCCTCAGTAGACTAACCCAGTGAAGCTTGCCATATGGCTTCATTGAAGTGTGACGTCACCACTGGGTCAAAAGTGTCTGGTAGACAATGTCGGCCCCCGTCACGGTTAAGTAAAGTACGTACTGAGGTCCGTGGTCTACTGACAAAGACCAGAGTGGTACGACCAGGTACTCCCTCTTCCTGTCCTCCTACTCAGTCACACAGTTACTGAGAACATGCTACAGTGTATGACCAGGTACTAACAGTCTTAATTACATTTCACCCATAGTATACATGTAGTATGGGTGAAATGTATTGTTTTCTCTCATGTTTCTTCTTCTTCTTCTGCCATTTCGTCAAATGGATTCAGTTTTGGGCCAAATGATAGTCTCCAAGCAAACACAGGGTGGCATGGAATGTATGGGGAATGTGGAAATTTGGAATTTGGAGGAAGAACGGGTGAAATGTGCTGCATTTGCTCCTGAGGGAATATTGGCCTTCCTAGTGTTATATTCAATTCTTGATTTCACTTTTTGGTCACAAGTTACTTAAGAGCTTGTTTTAAAAAAATCTGCATTTTTAAGTATAATAGTATAAAGTAAATTTTATGTGAATTCTTGGCATAATGTTTGGCATAATGTTTTAAACATCTACCAAATCTACTGAAAAGCATTAGGATTGTATGGACAATATTTGCATTTGGAAAATATGTTTGGCAAATATCAACAGAATGCAGTGAATATTTAGTAAGAATGCATTAAGAATGCAAGATGCGATTCAATGCCAGTTGCTGATATTTGATATACTTTATCCATCCCAGGCTCTGACAATCAGCTCAACAACAGCGACTGTGACTTCAGGGCACTTCGAGTTCGCCCCCTATCACGTTGGGCTGGTACTGCAGGTATCCTCAGGGTCTGCCACAGTCACAGCTGTCAGTAGTGTGACCCAGGTCACCTTACAGGTCCACACTGGCTCCCTAGATGGGTCATACTCTGCAGGGGAGTGGAGCCTACAAGAAGTCTCAGGTAGATACAGATTTTTTTTCATCATCATCATCCACTGCGTTCTGCATCTACAGTCGTATGGAAGTGTCCTGTAGCCGCATTCAGTCTTTCTTCATCTCTTTCCACCATATCCTCTGCCTCGCGAGCTCTCTAAGCTCCTTGAGTTTCTTTTCTGTTGTGGCAGAGCCTAGCCCTCGGCACTTCAGGTCTCCCTTCAGTATTCAGGTTGATACAATACAAGGTTTTTTCTTATTTCCTCTTTAACAAGAAGTAGTTTTACACCTGTTTTCTAGACACAAATATGTGTCACTCTTTGCTTAACTCTGTTTTGCAATGATGCCTACATGTAGATTGAGAATAGGATTCTTAAGGTCTTCTAATCATAGGTGTTTTTTCCTATGATCATGCCATTTAGAAAATCAAATCTAACTTCTAAGATGTTTCCTTAGGAATGAGTCATAGAAAGCAGGCTCTTTTAAACATTTGATACCACTGACTATTACATAACATTACATAAAGTCATTCATTCATTCATAACATATAACGTTACAGTGTTCTCCAAAGTATTTGTAGAAGTAATGTCTGAAATTGTAAGCCATTATTGTGAACTTAATATACTTCCCAGAGGTTCGGAATCTCAGATTTGAACTTTATATACGGTACTTCCCAGACATTTGGAATCTCAGATTTCTTGTTTACCTAAATCGCCAGGACAACAGGCCGTCCGTAAGTGGAACATCACCGAGGACGAGTGTCGCCATGTGATGAACGTTCAGGACGACCTCGTGACCCACAGTCTGAGATACATGGACGTCAGAGAGGACGTCAGGCTGGCAGCAAATGCAACCATCGCTGAGAATGGTAAAGGCATTTTCCTTCTGGCACTCAATTATTTACATGCTACAATGTTTCAAAAGTGCCAAACAATTCTCACCAAGTTATGTCGATGAAGGTTAGACATCCAGGTAATGAGATATACAAGAAAATGCTATGGTCTGTGAGGGGATGCTAAATAAAATGTCTGACAGTTTTCAAAATCTATCCAGTTCACATGTTCCTTGTGAATGTGAAGTGTTGATGAATAAATTTATGATACCTGATTGGATGTTTATAAGAGTTTGATATCAAAAAGCTTCTATTACATGTTTCAACTCTTATTTTTTTTCTATTTAAAGTTTTGCATGACTCAAAAAAGTTTTTTTTAAAGTTAAAAAAAGGATTTGGGCATTGTTGTGTTAGTCGTAAGGAAAGAAGATGAAAGAAACACTGTATATGGTATCTAGATCTGTCCTTGGTGCTGAAAGCGCTATTGTGAATGGTGCTAAATAAGGTTAATGTGTACTACTAAGCTCCTTCCTTTCTTCTTTTCATTAGACCTCAATATAGATCCTTGTGGTACAACAGCAATGTGACACCAATCTAAACCTGAATTCTCCCCTTCCCTGCAGCCCCAGAGGTGCCCAGTGAGCGCGCCCTGCTGGTGGTGACCTTCGGTAACCCCTTCGTGTTCCAGAAGATAGAGACTGATGCATTCTGGGACACCTCCGGGTACCACCACTTGAGGCTGCATGTTGTGGATGATCTCTTCAAACAGGTAAATGTGTGTGTAGGTGTGTGTGTACATGTATATGTGTGTGTTGGTGTGTGTGTATGTGTGTATGTGCGCATATGTGTTCATGTGTGTGTCTGCATGTTTATTTGTATGTGTGTCTTTGTATGTTTGTACAAATGTATATGTATGTCTGTGTGTGTGTGTGTGTGTGTATGTGTGTGTGTGTGTGTCTGTATATGGATGTGTCTTCATAATTGTATGTGTGTGTGTGTCTGCATGTTTCTTCATTCATGCATGTGTGTCTGTGTATGTGTGTATGTTTGTATGTCTGTGTGTATTTCTGCAGTCCTGTTTCTACTGTTTCTATGTATTTTCTTACCATCAGAAGTAACATCACAATGTACCGAAGGGGTTGAAGTCTGCCATCCCTCATTGCTTTTTTCCTCCATTGTACACCCCCAGGGCCATTCCTCGGTGACCCTGTACATCCCCATGGCCTCCCTGTTGTGCCCTCTGACCTCTCACACCGTGACCCTGCGGTGTCAGTGCCCGCCGGACAAGCACCTGCGCTTTGTGTACCAGAACCAGTTCACGGACGACGAGTTTCTACACGGACAACCTGTGGACAAGGATGGGAGGGACCTGCTGCAGAATTTAGAGGTGAATGTTATATCTTTGTTTACCTTAACAGAAGGAGAACTTGCTTTTGCAATGTTTTTGCTCTGTTTATCCTTCTTTTTCTTCTTCAAGCACATAAGGTTAATGACCTGGACCAGACGTCTGTGACCATGGTACCTTGTGCTGTAACAGACCCTGTGGTGTTGGGTTACATTATGCAGCAAGTTGCAGGGCAGAGGGGCTGGTCACTATTATGTATTAATGTGTTTAAGTGAGAATAAACAGAGCAGTGGACCATGTGAAGGTAAACATTATGCATAACCCAGCCTTAACAGGGATTATTTTTCCTGGCATTTCTAGAAATGACCATGTTTCTGTCTACTAAAGTTGCAAGTTTTGCTGGTCTAAAACACTGGATTGCATGTTATTTTCCATCCTGTTTGTTATTTCTCATTACCTGGATGTCTAACCTTCATCGACTTAGCCGTACTTCATTGCAAAATAAGCTTTAATCAAACACAAGGAATAGAGGCAATTTTATTTTCCAGGTGAACTACCGTCCGCCCTCCAGTATGGGAGTGGGAATCCCCCTGTCCAACAACATCTACAACGCAGACCCCAGTCAGGACAGACCCAACGACTTCTACCAAGTATCACAGGTCAGAAAAATATCCAGTTTATTTAATAAGCAGTAGAATTTTATCGTTTTACAACCATTATATTAATCCCTCTTGACAAGCTGCAATCATCCATACTCAGTATCGGTACTTTTTGTCGTTGGATCAAACTAACACATGAATGACTGCTGGTTTCAGATAGAACATGTCTCAGATAGAACATGTTCTCTCAAGTTGGGACTGTCATGGCAACTGTTCAAAAACATGGTAAACATTTTTTCTGAGGTCTGCCTAGATCTACGAAGTACAAAATAAGTAGAATTTTATGTATTGTCAGCAATATATATCCATTTTTTATATTCAACCTAATTTCTTCAAACTACATGTGTGCTATACGCTATTATTGAATGTAACAGAAAAATGACTATTTGATTGTCATTCCTGTACAGGACACAGGCCAGTTTAAGCAGTGCTTAGGCAAGTCCACGAGCGCGGAGTGCGGCTGTACAGAACAAATGAAGCTTTCGTCGCAAGAAGAGTTCTCAGACTGCATCGACCGTGCTCACCGGATGTTGTACCCGGCGGTGCTGCCAGTCCAACTTCAGGTGGTGCAACCGGGCGTGGAGACTGTTGAACTGGACCAGCCTTATGTTGTAGTGATAGAGGTAGGTACAATTACATTGGACAACATTGTCCATGGTACCACTGTACATAAAGGCTGCTTTTCTTTTTTTTTCCCCACAAGCAATATGTGAGTGGAATCAACTGCCAGGCCAAGTTGTGCAGGCCATGACAGTTAAGGCTTTTAAGGCCAAACTGGCAGTCGACCTTCCATAGCCGCGTACCGTTCCCCCATCAATAATACCCCACGTAGGGGATATTTAAGTAGAAGAAAAAGAACTTCAAGGTAAAGTACAGAGATTGTTGAACTAGACCAGCCCTAACTAGTAATCATTTTCACCTGAGTGTAAAGGTGCCTTTCCTAAGGGCACTAGGCGGGATTCAAACCCAAGACCTCTTGGTTATGAGCCCAACACTGCCGTTATGCCACATGATCCCACAAACAATCTCCCTGCAGGAGGTGAACAGTCGTTCAGACTACGTGCCTGACTCAGTGGTAACCCCCTCACTGGCCCGTCTCCGTGGCGATGAACGGCTGAACCACACGCTGATGTTCTACAGCCCTCGCAAACTCTCTGTCCTCATGACGGGCGCCCGGCTGTTCCACTTCAGGGTGTCCGTACTGGAGGGCTTCTCCTACTGTAACCTCAATGCTGAGTTTATGGTGAGACATCTCCGAACAGCTAAGTTTTTTGTTCACAACCATAGTTAAGTTTTGCAGAATCAGATGTGGCTTCTTCAGTGGCTGAGGATTAATTGCCCAAATGCATTAAGTTCGTTGTTATATACTTTTACAGATTAGGCCACACAGATTTTATTCTATGGATGACATCCTCTGAAGAACCCTAAATTAGAGCGTGCAGGCGAATAAGAAAATAAGCCAGAAAAATTTTTTGCTAAACCACAGGAATAAAAAGCTGGTATTGTGAATATACCATTATAGTATAGCGACTATCATGACAAGCCGGCACACACATGTTGGCCTTTTGCGGCATTCTTGAGTTGGAACTGTACTGGGTTCTTGAGTTGCGGCAGCCTGGGCGCCCTCCGCAATAGTTACTGCCGGCTCCCTACTGTCAATAGCTACATGTACCATGGACTACGGAGGATGGCACCCAGGCCAGAGCATCAGAGGAGGGGATTTTTTTTTTTCTTGAGAACAGGTGAAAATGAATGTCTGTGCGGATGTCATCCATAAAAGCAAATCAGCATGACCTTATGCTGATTCTGTCTTTCCCCCTCAGGTCTATGTGGACCGGCCTCCCATAGCCTACCCATCGGAGTACATCATGCGTGGAGGCATCAGCATCATGATAGGCATGATCCTGTTCCTGGTGTACCTGTACTACCTGCACACTCACCACACACCCTTCACCATTAAATCTACGTCACAACATGCACATCACAAAAGGGATAGGAGAGCGACCATGGCGGACAGTGACAGTGATGAGTAGAGTATCAAGATTGTCAGCATATACATGAGTTTTATGCTGGGTTCTAGCTTGTTAGTTAAATGCATGACTATGCTCAAGAGTTTGTTGTCAGAAAAGTTCAAAATGTTGATAGGCCGTGCTTGTGCTATTTGAACTACTTAATGTTCAAATATGAAATAGTCGAAATCCAATACATGTGTAGAACCATGTTTGAAAATGTTTATAATTATACAGTAGGGAATAAAGACAGATTATTAACATGAAGAATGTAGTCTACAATCTGGTACATTTTGTACCTTGGCAGGTCTGTGAGGTGTGGTTATGACAAAGGAGGGCTTAGGGCATTACAAAATGTATGTTGGGGGGGGGGGCAAGGTGTTTTAATTTTGCACATTGCTTTAAAACATTTCACAACAGTTGCTCTTCCAGGATTTTGAGGTGCTTCCTTGCCTATTCCACAACCTCCCGTAGCTCTGGCTTTGCAATATCCTCTGGAAGGATGGGTAGAGAAAGGCACAGGTGAGATTGTAATACTTACAGAATATCGTTGAACAGATACATACATTTGACACAAAACTACATTGTGTGTGTGAATGTTCCCTTTATTCAGAAGCAAGTAAAGAGCGAATTCGAACACCAATACATAAAAAACAGAACAATCTAGCAGTTGGAAATTGAACAGGCCTTTGCAACATAATCACAACAAGCTTTTCAGTCAAAAAGCTTCTGAAATCATTAGGAAAATTAGATCAAATTTTTCCCACAGACAACAATTTCAATTTAAAAATATATAGATTTGTGAGTCAAGAAAAAAAACGGCATTTCAATTTTGAAATTACGCATATAAGATAAATCACCTTGCTTAGACCTGTATGAAATAATGTACATTGTACTATGTACTTCTATGGGATGGTTAAGCGTCCATGCCCCCCATAAGATGGTACAATTCATTGTCTAAAATTGTACTTGTTGATCTGTGAATCATAATAATATAGTAAATGAATCCCAGTGTTAGAAACATTGATACACCAAACTACACTACACCAGTTTTCACCCCACACCCTGTTTGTATGTTAGTTACTAAACCATCCTATCCTATAAGGCACATGTGTTGTGAATATTTGAGAAGGAACATAATGTTTTACATGAAGGAAATAACCTTAACACTTGGGAGAAAAAAGGCAAATGCCTACTAGTAGACAGCCCGAACAAGCATGGTTGCATTCTAAAGTAGGCATCTCTACAATTTCGTTGATAAAAACTAATTTATAAAAAGATTTCAGCTTGGTAGTTGATCATGAAGTACTATACATCACCTAAAAGCCATTTTTTTTATAATCATTATGATAAAGCCGTTCTTTGAGAAGACATATTAAACAGTGGTTTAACAACTTATGATACCAATGACATAACGTTACATGTATAAACATACTTAACCATGGCTTACTGTGACCATTTCACACTGTGACAACATAGCAGGAATATGAGAAGTAATACTGAAGAGTAGTAGTTGTGCTTTCTTGAAGTTTATAGATTATACAAAGTACTCAGAATGGTGAGTAAGCCAGTAAAAAAAACATGAAATCTTGAATATTTAGACTAAGTGTTCAAGTAGAAGAATAGCACCAGTGGTGTAGACTGTAAGTACATGTAACACAGAAATCTTGTGTTCAACTATGTCAAAGATCTAGAGCAGTTACTCAAGCAACTGGATATGATTTTCAACAATCATATCCAGTTGCTTGAGTAACTGTTTTTTGGCATATCTTATTACCTGGATGTCTAACCTTCACTGACTATCTTGTGTTTAACTGTCTACGTTCTCTCGGCAACCAACATTTGTTTGTTTGCCACCCTAAAAAATTTAGAGAGACTTTCTCAATTAGTGAAAATGTCTGTATCCTCTGAACCTTTTAGGAGTGCAGTCAGCTCAGAAAAATGTTGGTCACAAATTTTTTTTTTTCACTGGTGCCATTCAACTACATGATATCAAGACAAAGACATAACATGACTGGCTAGAGTAAGGGCACTTGTCTAAAAGTTGTTCTTAATCATCATTCATTTATGGCTCCAAAAATTTATCCTCTACAATTAGTTGAAAATATACCTCTGAAAGTGATCATTTGTTAATTTAGTATATTTGCCCAATACACCTCTTATATACATGTACAGCATTTGTTCCACCTGATCTATCTAAGGCCACAACAATTTAATTTGTTGGTTTTCAAACTTGACAATAAATGAAGACTTGACTAGAATATCACATGTTGGTCTGATACAGTTTCAGGCAATGACTATTATAAGTCTATCTCCTAGCTTCATGTTTCAAATTTTGCTTAAGATGCCTTTAAAACTATGTGAAGACCAAGGAAATAAAGTGTTGTGGCCTAAAAAACAGGCATTTTAATGAATTATGACACCCTGGCGGAATCCACCCTGTTCTGTACCATCTACTTTAATTATCATAGTTATGACATGACATATTTACAACTGTGTGAGATAATAGGACACAATGACAAACATTCAACTAACATACAAAATTTTAGCATGGGTGTTGTGGAAATGATCTTTAAAAATCACTTGTATGCGTGTGTGTCCAAGAAGTTGGCAAACTGAGTTGTTGGATGGCATTTTGTTGTTATGAGGTTGGAGGAGTACACCCCTTGGATTATGTGTACTTCAGGTTTGGAAGCGTAATTCTTTTCTACGACAGTATCTACTGTATGTGGCCAACCCAACCGATTTTGTGCTAAATGTTGGACAGATCTGACCACCAGAGGACAGGGTCGTCTAAACCATGTTACACATCTCGTCTACAGTTTATGTCAGTTTCTGGTCTTTCATACATAGGGACAGACTCCTAAGGGGTTGCAAAAAATTCACCTGTGTCTAAAAATTGAAAGTAACAAATGTAACTGTTACAGTCTTTCCTGACATATCTAGTACTTTTTCCTTGCCTTTCTTGTAAAATATTCTGTGCACCCCCCTCCCCAATTCTCTCTGAATAACTTGTACATTCCTGATAACAGTTAAATGTAAGACTTAAGTCTTCTTAATACATAAAATCATGAGTAACTGGCATATTTGTATCCTGTTAGATGTGAGCAGTCAGATGATTTTTTTCTTTAGTACAACAGGAGAATGTAGTTCCCATATGATATATTTTCCTGTTCCCCAACTATACTGAACAGATGTTCCCAATGCCTTATGTCTTCCCGGCTTTCTTGTCCTTTTTCTGGGAGGCGCCCCCAGCCATCTTACGAAGAGCCTCGGTGACTGGACCCATAATATCCTACAGGGAACAAACAACAACAAATGCCATGATCACAACATGAACATCTAACTTTAAGCCAACCCACAGGATAGAGGCAAGTGGCGGGCTGCCATCAAGCCTCAGTATTGCAGTGCAAGCACGTCTAACCCTCGGAAGTCGGGGAACAACAGATGATAAACCGGATAGTAGGAGAAGTGAGTTTTGGTACTGATGATTCTATATGGATAAGATGTTAGGAAGACCATACATCTGCAATTCCCCTTTGGAATAGAGTCAAAGCCTTGCAGCTGTTACTGTTTGAAGGTTAACTTTTAATGACCATAATATATAATATATAGATCACAATTAGATACCACCAACAGACAAAAAATTTGGCCCTACACCTTTCACACCAAATTGATTAATTAAAGACAAGCCTTAAGTTGAAACCCTGCTGTTTTGAGCCCAATTAGTTAGTATATACTTAGAGATTGTTCTCATCACCATGGAGACGGGTAGTAAACAACACAGATTTTAAAATCTCCTTCTCCCAACATTCACCAATCGAAACACAGCTTTTGCTGTTGCTAGGCAACTACTAACCACGCCTATTTTTCTAAAACATGTCCGCCTCATGGGCCCAACTTTTCCAGCCCCTCCTCACAGACACCCTGTATGTCCTGGAAGAAAACGTTCTGTTTGTCTGAGTAAAATGTCAGTAAGATATCATAAACACCATTTTCATCCAAACAAGGTTTCCTATCCCTATCCTATATCCTATTATGTACTGGGCAAAGCCCTCTTGGGGCATCACACGATGATTCTACATCACCATTAAATTTTCATTAAAAATTATGGTTCATCTAATTATGTTTTCTTTTGTCTATTGGGATTTTTGTACAGCAAAAAAGGTGTAAAACACTTGGTTGTAACAAGTTGCTGCATCAATATGACTTAGCAAGATCACAAGATCAGTGGCATGGCAGGGTTTGAACCCGGGACCTCTTGGTTCTGAGACGAACACACTACCGTTACGCTACACGACCCCACAAGTCTATAGTTTATTCATCAGTCTGAACTTCAGCTTTTCCCTACCTCATTGGAAGCGAACTTGATCTTTGCCTCAGACAGGATCTTGTCAGCCTTCGCTGCCTTCAGTTCCTCACAAAGGTCATCTGAGGTGAGAGAAACATCATCAATAGTTCATCCTTCTGGGCAAGATAAAATTGTTGGGATTTTACTTTAAATTTAGAATATACAGTCACATACGTGGTTCTGACTGACTTTACTGTGCCAGTTCCTAACGTGAAAACCCCTCTATCTGTCACTGTACTTCACTAGTGTGTAGTGACCAGCCCCTCCAACTTGCTACATAGTATAACCCAACACCACAATGTGTCTGCTACATGTATACCACCAGTTACCATGGTGACAGACGTCTTTTACGGGTCATTAAATTAACCTTATTATGATCATGTTGAGTGCAAAAGACGCTGCAATCCTAGGGGCGCCGGGGACATGCTTCCCCTAGAAAATTTTCACTCTGAAATGCTTTGCCCTGCATTTTGAGGGACAAATTTTGGTGGTAGACTAAGCTTTGTTTCATTACATCTCTATCCGTATCTTAACGTGCCAATTTTTGTCTGTAAAGACAAAATCGTGCCAGTTCCACACATGCAAAACTTACTGTACTGTGCGAGTTCGTTGATGAGTGTGCAGACGTTCTCGACCACCTCCGGGTTATCCTTGTGCAGTTCGTACGTCTCCAGGACGATGGGGATCCCCGCCTCTCCCTCGTTCTCCAACAGACGGTACGCGCTCTCCTCTGCAAGGAAGGGCGAACCCTGCATTTGGTACGCACATTCCACTTTTCCCCAGACGGGGAGGGGGGCAGCAAGGGGGGGAGGGAGAGTTACGGAAGGAGAGAGACAGGATAAGTCACAGGAGAAAAAATCGGTTGGGAGGGAAGGATTGATCACTACACTGTCCAATCACCGAAAGACAGGAGACAGAAAAAAAGATGGAAAGTTGCAGTTGCCACCATGTAAAAATTATAGGCTGGGGTAGTTATTAATAATTGCTATCAAATTTCTTTAATGTACAGTTCATAAATCACATACATTTGTATGTGTGTGCATCACCCAAGAACCACGTACATGTACAATATCATGGACAATCATAATAAAGATTTTTGAGATAATTTTGACACCATTTTTAGCTTGAAAAAATATTATAGACTGCGTGCAAAAAAATACATGATTTGTCAAAACAGTAACTCAAAAATAATATCTAATTGAGTACCCCAGATCATGTTAGTATTTGCTCACTGTTTTCAGGTCAAAATAAAGGGACAGAGTACAAACAATAAGATCGGTGCAGCACAGAATTTATTTTCTGTGTGTATTATAGACAAGCCACTCTGCCTTACCATCAGCCTCCACAATACTGGCCATGGCCATGCAGGCGTTCTTCGCAACTTTGGCATCCTAGAAACAGAAAGGAAGAGATTAAAAAAAGAGGACCAAAACTGAAGTCTTGGAACCAACCATCAGACTGTTCCATATTGTCGGTCATGTAATTAACTGTTTCTTCAATTTACTGTAAAACTCACTTGATGTCTACAAAAACCAAATTGTCTAAAATAGGAAAACAATATGCCAAAAAGCAGTTACTCAAGCAACTGGATATGATCTGACCGTTTGCAAAATCATATCCAGTTGCTTGAGTAACTGCTTTTTTGGCATATTGTATTACCTGGATGTCTAACCTTCATCAAAATAGGCAAACAACTTCATTTTGCCAAATACTGTATACCCCAAATAAAAATACAGAAGCAGCATCAATATCCCAATTTTGCCGGAGGCTTTACATAGAAGGGGTAACATCTACACACATGTACATAACCTACACGTACATCTTACCTTCATGTGTTTTTTGAGAGAGCTGAGCGTGAGTTTGACGGTCTGTAGGTCTGCCATCATCTCGATGTTGTCGTCCTCCATGGAGAGAGACCAGATGGCACAGCAGGCATAGTCCACCAGCTGGGCGGTGTCTCCATGTCCATCGAGAGCCCCGCACACATCAGCCAGGCCTTTCTCTTCTGTCATGATCTTTGCATTGTTTTCTACAAACAGAAATGCAAAAAGTAAGTTTTTTTTTTTTAAACTGTCGCAGTTTTTTAAGGGAGTTTGTTTACAGCCCCAAACCAAAAATTGACATTTATAACACCGCTGAAAATGATACACACTTATTGGTCATGATCTTGCCATTGTTTGTTATAAATGATGCCATTAAATGACTCAGAAAATTGTATGCAAGGAAATTATCACTCAAGCAGCTGGATAGATTTTAAGAACTTACAGACTTTTACAGTAGTATCCACTACTCAGTCACTGACGAAAAGTAATGGATTCTAGTTGAAATGTCTGACAGTTTTTAAAATCTATCTAGTTGGTTGAGTGACAATTTTTTTGTATCTCATTACCTAGATGTCTAACTTTCATCAATATAACTATAAATAAGAAACTTTTTGGAACAAAATATAGCATAATTTTCTGCTTTAGTTATCAAATTTAATGCATTTAGCCGATGTCGGCATGAAGATGCAATTCACTTACCATTGACTCCAAGGCTCCATAGGGCACCACAGCAGTTAGTGATGAGTTTCTGGTCATTAGGGAACTGTCTCATGGCTGCTAGGACGTCTTGCACACCTCCTGCCTGGCCGATCACATCAGCTGCACTCTCTGGGAAATGGACAGCAAACAACAAATGATACTTTTTATCAGCCTGCCTTGTTTGCTTGTGTTAGTTTTACACACAACTAAGTGTAAGCCAGTTTTACACATACCTAAGTGTAAGCCATCCAAATATGCTTTCTTTGTTTAATTAATGTTAAGCAATGAAAGGGGTAAAAACTGCAATAAAAAAAAACAATAAATGCATATAAAGCCCAATCATCATTCTACTCAATCATCCTTAACATTTCTACCAAATCTGAGCAGCCGAATACTGAATTTCAGGTTGCATGCATACCTATGCAACCATCTTCAGTCATATGTATTCTTAAGGCACCTCTTAGCCCCAACTTGATAGTAGAGGACTACAGACTGAGGTAGCCTGGTATCCAAACCTAATTTAGCTTTGATCATGTGGTTTTCCCTAGCACTAATTTACCACAGATTGCAGTGTTGAAAATACCTGTCCTTGGTGCTGAATATCAAATTTCACGAGGAAAACAAAATGAAAGGCACTTGAGTTGTAGCTTGGTTACCAAACCTAATTTAACCACTGAGTCTCTTTCATCCTCTCATGATAGTGGAGAGGAAGGAAGGCAGTCTAAGTTTAGGTTTAACCATGACAGAGGTTGATGACCTACCGTCTCCAGACAGAGCCATGATGAGCTGGGCTGCAGCTGACTGCAGGCTGGCAGAGGCTGCATGGGACTGCGGAAAACAGAGAGAACTTAAAGAATACATCCAATCTGATTTTGACAAATTTAAATTAAATTATCGTCTACCAGATACCTTTGACCCAGTGCTGATGTCACACTCCAGAGAAGCCACGTGACAAGCCTCACTGGGTCAGTCTACTGAAGAAGACCAGAGTGACTGGTCCAAAGCTCTAGGTGAGAGAACTTTTTGTGTTGGACCAAAAGGATGAACTTTAAACATGTACCTACCAACACAGATGAACTTTCATGATAGTTTAAATTAAAATAGATTTTGCTGACTGACTGTCTGTCATGTGAACTTCGCAATTTTCTACAAATAACTAGTTTGGCAATGCAATCAGTACCCTTGAAGCCCCAAATTTGTATAGAATCCTATACAAATCAGACTAGTATATATTTGAATACCATATCCAGAATGAATTAAAGACATTCCTCACCCTCATGGCTAGTAGAACGGGTGCGATGACATCTTTGGTGTACAGGATATCCCCATCTTCAGCTGTTAACATGTCCAAACAACAACAAATGTTTAAAAACTTTAACACTGCATGACAGCTTTTATAACACATTGATGTAGCAATGTAAACAATCCTCACAATTCTGCCACAATGGCTGCAATGTCAGTCAAGCTGACAAATAAACTAGTCTACTAACCAGCCACTCCAGAGTCTTTGTCCCACATGTAATGAAAATATTGAAGATGAATTTCACTTTGTTATGACTTGTCCAACTTATAGCAAAGAGAGAGATACACTGTTACAGACTTCACAGACAAAGTTCACCCTATCTGGTACGCAGAACGATACTTTCCTTACATTATTGTCATGTCCAACTCCCATATCTGCCTACATACATATAAATGTAGGTCCATTTCTGTATACATCATTCCATAAGCAAGACCAAACCATCAATACATGACTGTATTTTAACTCATATATTGCTATCAATAGTAGTTTGTAGTAAGAATTGTAAGATAGTTTAGTTTTGTAGTATTGTTGTCTTACTGCCATACATTGTACCATGTATTGTACTTTGGCAGTAGGTCACGAGCACTGTTCGACAGGATTGTCAGTTTTTTAAAATTATGTATATTGTAAATATGTTATTGTTTTAGATATGTTTGTGACTTGACCAGTTGTCCACTATGTTTGTATAATGTATCGTCTGTATGTACATGTATGAATACCAGGAAGACTAGCTTCAAAGTTTCATGTACGATAGTCGAGCAATAAAGTTCATTCATTCACTAATGACAGAGAAGTGCCCCCTACCTGTGACGACGAGGTTCTGCAGCACGTTGCAGGCCTCGGTTTGGATGTCGACGTTGGACATGTTGGTTCTCATGCAGGATACGATCACCTTCTTCCCTGCCTCGTCAACTACTGAATCTGAAAAGGACAAGCACACAAGGCAATCAGAGATGGCAAACTTTACCCCCTTGCAACAATCACTTTTTTTACTGACTTGTCAACTACAGAATCTGCAAAGGACAAGCACAAACAATGTAGTAAGAGATGGTAGACTTCACCCCCTTACTCATAGTGCTCATACATGACACAATCATCTTCTTTGCTGACTTAACTCTCAACTATACTGAATCTTCAACGGGCAAGAACAGACATAATCATCAGAGATGTCGACAGCAGACTTTACACCCTTACCCATACCCACAGACAAAAAATACATACTGGTACTAGTACTGAGGATGTATGGGAACAATGCATTTTGTTTTGACAATTGCAGAAACAAATGCACAGAAACACAAACGAACACACATGTGCAGATACACATATGTGTGCATACCCCCCTTTCATCATAAAGTACATGTCAGTGTTGTCTTACCTTGTTCCTTGGTGAGTTCTCCTAGATATACCAAAGCTTCCTTCACACTTTCCTCAAGCTGTTCTTGGTCCTTCAGGTACTCTGGGGGTGTACAAGGTTTGACAAACTATTAATTTGTAAAAAAAAAAGCACCAAAACAAAATATGAAACTTAACCAGTCAAAAAAAAAACAGCCTAAAATCATATCTTAAAACCTTCCAAAAACAAAATCTGAACAGAAACACTGACTAACCTATAACAGCCTTGATTCCTTTGCCCTTCGGTACTGGTTCTGTAAGGAAACAATATCATTGATAAATAACTACATTCAATTTGAAAATGAATTTTCAATCTTTACACCTACATGAAATAACAAAAAAGACCAAAATCACAAATGTCTATCTGGCAACGGTATAGTCATACTCACTTGCTTCTATTCCTTTTGCTGCAAAAGGAGAAGGGAAACATAAGTTAAATTTGAGATTAGAGCACATCAAAACAAAGCAAAAGTCTGCAAAGCTACTAGAGCAAGTGTGTTGCAACAAAGAACATTTATTATTTGAAAGACATAAAATGTACTAGATGTAGAACAGTCTGTTGTATTTTACATACTTGCTGCCTTCTTTCTGGCCACCAAGGCTGAACTACTGAGGCCCAGGGCTTCTTTTACATACGGGATGTCTGTTAGTTCTCTGTAGGGGAACAAAAATTGTTGTACATGTATTAGATATAGCAATACAGAAGCTGTGTATTCTGGCACATGCTGCTTGAGCCAAAAAGCTAACCAAAGCAGACTGGATACAATGACAAAGATGTAATGTCAGGGCTAGAAACACCCACCTATAACTTTTAGTTTTCAGACAAATTTTGTGATGATAGCTTTAGCTTTAGCATTCAAGCACTGTTACTGTAATAGTAACAATGCATGTACAAAAGTGTGTGTGTATACTGTAACTCATATATTGTTATTGATAGTAGTTTGTAGTAATGATTGTAAGATAGTTTACTTTTGTAGTATTGTTGTCGTACTGTCACACATTGTACCATGTACAATTGTCGAGCAATAAAGTTCATTCACTGTGTACATAATTGTTCTTCTATGATTGTTGAATGAAAACATGATCTGGAAAAAAACTTAAGAAGCCCCACTCACACTGCTGTTGGTCTCTGTTTGAAGTTTCTTCTGAGCATGGTCCTGATGAGTTGGACTAGATCAACTGAGTATCTCTGCAAGAAAGTGCAAGAAAGAAAGTTGAGCATACTATGTACATGTACTAGAATGACATTTGGGATTTTCAGCAAGGCTACGGTGTATTCTACTATTGACAGAGGTGTACGGCTTTTTCTGTCACTAAACAGCTGTGTTTTATATAACATATCCATGACTAAGAATTTCCAGAATCAGCCTGGTAAATGTGACAAGAGCCTTTTAATCTGACAATGTTGGAGACAAATAGTAAAAACACATGCATGTCTCCCTTTGAAATCTTTTGACATTTACCTAGATTGTGCATGCAACTTCAAAACCATTTTAATCATGCAAAGATGAAGGGTCAAGTATGAACTCTCCTTGGTGCTTTGTCATCCATTCAACGTGTCTTAAGTACTTTCAATTCAAACAACTCTCTATCTCTATCTCTCTATCCAGTTTAACATCTTTTTCCCCTGAAACTGGGGGGTTAGAAGTGCAAGTCTTTTTTAAAGCAAGATTTTTTATGGCTGGATGCCCTTCCTAATGCCAACCCAAATCCTAGTAAGGCCCAGAATCCCTCTAACTGAGGGGGGAAATATGTGTTAAGTGCCTTTCCCAACGGCACAACGTCTGGGTGCATGTCCGGACATGTCTGGGTCCAACCCTGGAGATTAAATCTGGGTCCCCTTGCTTGACAGTTGGATGCTCTACCACTATAACACACAGACGCCACTGAACTGCGTGAAGAACTATGAACTGTGAGAAGAAGTTGCTTACCTTTCCTACTTCCTCCAGAACATCTTCCAGGATCTGTGGGGAGTGTTTGATCTCAAACAGGGTAGCCTGTGCCTGGGGGGTCTGAAACATGAAAAAATCATTGTAAAACATGAACATTTCTTACTAATGTAATCACTGTCTGGTATTTCTTTGTCTAAGTAAGTGGTATTAGGGACATATGAAGACCTGCCAAAGTGCTAGACATATGAAGACCTGCCAAAGTGCTATGGAGGATAGGGAGGGCTAGAGGAAAAGGGTCATCAACATCTGTGAGACGTTCACAACCAGATGATGAATGAAGATTAGGGACAGATGTTAGTGCATGGTTTTAGCTATTGAAAGAGCTATTCAGTTATAGTGAAGACATTATTTTTTCATTCATGTACAACTTAGCAATCTTATATTAAGTTTTGGTAGAGGCCCATAAAAAACCACACAGGTTTCAAGCCCCTCTGCAGTTCTTGTTTTCTACTGTAATTTTGTTTTCATGTTTTTAATTTACATTGTACATATGCAAACAAATAAACAAATGCGTACATCCATGAAGCTGCATGTACTCATCTCCAGTGTGATATAGCCGAGAGACCAGACATCGCTTCTCTCATCAAACTTTTGTTTTCATGTTTCTGATTACATTGTATATATGCAAACTAACAAATAAACAAACAGGTGCGTACATCCATGAAGCTGCATGTTGTCATCTCCAGAGTGATACAGCCGAGAGACCAGACGTCACTCCTCTCATCGTAAGGTCTCTCCAGTACCTCCGGTGCCATCCAGTTCATGGAACCTGGGGAGGGGAGGGGGGCAAATGTCAGCAACTACACAATTCTATACAATTACATCTACATGTAGTTTGGATATATTATGTGGGTGTCATTTTGAAGACAGGTTTTATCATTCAATGATATGAAGTAACTGTAATTTACAAAATAAGAAATTGGATGTACCCAAATTTTCAACTGTACAACTCCAGTCTTTGTCAGCGAATGAGCAATCCCCCGCTTCTGTGATGTCTGACATATACTAAAGTCGTTTATTCCTCGACAAAGACTGGAGTTGTACGGTCAAGATTTCTTGTGTTGGAAATTACAGTTCAAAGATTCATAATGACTACAAATGGATGGACTTTCATCAAGATACGATTTGACGTTACATCATTCTAATCATGCAAAGATGAAAAGCCAAGTACAAACTGTCATTGTCCTTGGTGCTGAATTTGCCATCCATTCACTGTCTCCTTTAGTAGTGTTGATACAAACATGATAGCTCTTTTTTGTATTAATTTGAGTCTGGTTATCATATTCATGTCAACCTACCACTACAGCAGCTTGTTTTTTTAGGAATGGAGACATAGCAAAAAGAACTGGCGTGATCCAGGCTGAACACAAAAAAACACAGCTGACCAACAGTGGTCCTAGTCTTGGTCCTAGCATCCCCCATGACTGTGGCCACCCCAAAGTCTCCTATAGAAATGGACAGGTCCTCTGTCATGAAGATGTTACTGGGCTTCAGGTCCCTGCAATAGCAAGAGTTAAGAGTTAGTACAGTTAGTGTAATAATAGTACAACTGCATGTAGTATGGAAAAACATCCTTGGCTATCTTGGAAAAATGACTCAAAACTAAAATAATAGCTTGTCATCTTTTGAGCCTGTGGTTGCCCTAGCACTGATTGCTGTGTTGAGAATACCTGTCCTTGGTGCTGAATATCAAACTTGCATGGCACTTGAGCTGTAGCTTGGTTACCAAACCTGTTTTATAGCTCATGAGTCTCTTTTGTCCTCTCCTATGTGCAGAGAGGATGAAAGCCAGCTAAGATACATTTCGTAACCAGGCTACTTGAGCTGTGAACTCCTGATATTGACTGATGATAAAAATTAAGATTCCATCGCTCTAACCTGTGGATGACTTCCTTCTTGTGAACAAACACGAGAGCCTCAATCATTTGTCCCAGCCACTTCTTCAGGATCTGAAAAGTCAACATGCAACATTATCATTTTCTGTAATGTGCAAATACTGCACACATTACCATCATAAAAGGAGCATGTTGACAGAGTGTACTTTGTCTTGCAGTGCGCAAAACCCAGATTTTTCATGGCTTTCAATGTTTGGTCAGAATCTTCCCTGTTACAGATTACATCTTTTCTGACATAACATTTGGAAACTATAGATGGAGTGTCATAATTAAATACGCAAATACAACCTTAAACAAGACATTCTGCTGAAATGCTATGCACAATACATTACGGGTGCTACTAGAACACTGGTACATGTATGCTATAAAATGACATTTTCATTGAAATCAAATGCATGAATTTTGTACACTTGTAATCTATGTTAAAATCTCTGTTTGGATTTTTATGATCTCTGTGACTCACCAGTTCTTCGATGCTTTCCTTCTTGGACCTTTTCTGCCTGAGGACCTTGTCCAAGTCTCCCATCTTATAGTACTCCATCACTATACACACAAACATGGCAGACTCCTGCAAGGGACAGACACATGTCAGTATGCTATTCATTCAATGGTTTGGCTGTTGAAGTGTGTGTTGAAGTGTGTGTGTACTTTTCTTGAGAAAGACGAATAAAGTCGAAACCGGTCGAATTCCGTCTCATCGTTGTTATTCTCCCAACGCTATGAATGATGCGTGACTGTGTACATTTGTACTTTTTGTTTGCCATCATTCAGTATTCCCCATGATTACATAAACCATTAGCAGAGTCCTTCTATAAATTATAATAGGTACATATAACATCACTAATCTTCACTTTTGGATGATTAATTCAGTATGCAGAGGTATTGAGAATGATATTTACCTCCTTGTCCCAGGTGACAAAGAACTCCTTGTACCCACACACATAGGGGTTCTTCAGTTCTTGGAGCGCCATGGCCTGTAGGGGAGAACATATGGTTAAAACTGTATCAAATTCTGTATCTGTGTCTCTATGCCCGGTATACTAGTAACCCTTTGGCGTATAACACACCAGCTAACTATAACAGCATATCTTATCCTAACAAAATCAAAATGACAAAAAACATTTATCATTTATTATAAACTTTAATCTGTAATGCATAAGCATGAGAAGGAAGATTACCATCCACTTTGTATATGACACTATGAGGTAAATTACACAATGCGATTGTTTTAACCAATTTTGAACTTTGAAAGCTGTGCTTTTGCACAATAATCATAATATATCTAAAATGGATATGTCTCAATTTTCATATGTTATAATCTTATTTACCTATCCTTATTTCATTGTCAAAAACACCTCCCCCCCCCCAAAAAAAACCTTTAACAAATGCAGGTTTTGTGAGTTTAAGGGCAATACACAAATAACAAACATCCTGTTATAAAGCCTGTATAACCAACATAGCAAAAACTCTAGGGACAGAAGTTATGGGTTAATTTAAAAAGTCAGGAGCAGGGTGTTTTCTTTTGTTTGTTTGTTTCAGATATTACCCGGTAAACCGCCTTTAACTTAAGTGTAACACACCAGTTTTGTACATGTGCGTACATGTACAAGCTGCGTATGACTGGATTGTAAGGTTTGAACCACTCACACCAGGAAGGTCCCCTACTCTTTTCGATAAGTGCAGTGGGTTCTTTAACGTGCGTGGGGTGTGGCTCTCCCCAAACATGGTGTTATTTTCCAATAGATTTTTCATCAATGAATAAATAATTTTCAGACAACTTTTTGCAGGGTTCCAGTCGTGTGAAGTGTGTTAACAATACAACCACTCCTGACTTGAGTGCTCTGTCGAGAAAGGTCCAAACATGTTGACACAGGGACTTGAAATTTACCAAAGCCGAGCCTCTTTCTTCTCTCTGTGATGACACAACAGGACGACATGCCTGTCCAAAGAAACCCACCCTAAAGGCAAACTGTCTCGTATATTTGTCACAGGAAGGAAAAACATGCAGTCACTGGGGCTGGGGTCATGTTTGAGAGTCACCTGAACTACAAACAACTCTGTCATATATTTCTTTCTGCTCTGCATAGTTGATACCTCAACCCTTGTCCTGCAGAGCCCATATATATATGGGTTGTACATACAGTACCATCCATATAGCACCCTGTGCATGTACGATTTGGGGGGTTTCTTGTGCAACGCATCACACCGCAGTGAAACGCAACGAATGCGGAAGTAACTATGCCACCGCAGGGCACCACAAGGGTCTGTGACCTGATTAAGACTTCAAATTATTTGAAAATATTGTGTAAAAAATGTCAGCAGGACAAGGGCTAAGTCAAATATAATGTTGCACGAATGCATTTATCTTCAAGTTAGGAATCCAATGGTACTTGATGAAAGTACTGTGAGCAATACTATAAAAACATTGCCAGAAACTCACTAGTCTCTCCCAAACCTAATGCTATTTTGGGAAACTTTTTCTTTCTCGGCCAGGTTTGGTAGTGACTTGTAATTCACCTGGCATAATATAGGGTAGGCTTGGCAAGGCTTACCTGTTATAAATGACAGGATTGCGGGCAATCTTGAGACATAATCTGTTAACCATGACAGGGGACTTTTGTGTTCCACAGTAGAACCTTTGTTAATGAAAGGTGGAAGATTACCCAGGTATGGTCCTTGCATTTATTATACTAAGAAGCCTGCCAAACATTCATAAACAATCTGTTGCCATCATATCAAATGGCTATGATGAAATAAAAGTACAGGATATAAATAATAAATAAAAAATCAGGATAGGGGTTGAATTGTGTCTGTATAATATCGTTTCGGAGCTTTAAGTATGTGCTTACAAACAAAATATGCCTTTTAGTAAACTAGAATACTTGTTTGGTTATGTCAAAAGTCATTGTCAAGTGACAATAAACAAATTATTGCCTACACTGTAGGTAAATACAATTATCTTTGTAAACAAGTGCAGCTGCTATTATTGTTATAGAAAAAATGTTGTTTGGCTTAGGGTCTCTTGGAAACTGAAAGTTTACAATGCAAAGGGGTCAAGAATTGTCAGGGGGTACATTTAACATTAATCAGGTTTTGACACAACATCTTTATTCTATATGAACACATTTATGCACTTAATATCCAGTAAATGTTTTTCAAAGGATGAAATGCCATGTCTCTGGCTTTTCTTACCTGAGACATACTTTTATGATGAATTGATGACATAAGTCATCAAGCAATATTGTATGCAAATTTTATGTTCTAGCCAACCTTTGTAAAAACCACCTACTAGTAATTCAGACTGATATGTCTGCTGCATGTAATTGTATGGAGCAGTTTTACACAATGCAATTAGATGTACAGTACAGAGAAATCCTAACCATGAGACCATGACTGCAGTCAGACTCTCATGGTTAAAGGATCTCTTTGTATTGTACATTTCATTATTGTCCTGATGCAATTGTCTCAAGAGGCAACAGTGTTATTTTTCTACCAGCATAGATTTTTCCTAAGCCAGCTGGCTTCTCACTCACAAAGTGTTTGTTTTTCTTTCAAAACCCGAACTTAAGTGTGCAAACATTACTCTACAAATTTGGACCATTGTGGCTACATCTGTAAAGTACCTCTAATGTTTATAAATATGCCTGGACCACCTGGCTCTATATACCTGCTTAGCAATGGCCTTAAGCCCTTTAAGTGCCTGTGTAAAATTTGCTGGGAAAAAGCTGATAGAATGTGGAGTGTAATACAAATCTTGGCTGTAACTATAATGTAATCTCAGTATATATACAGTAGATAACATTAACATTATGTATACATGTAATAATGTATGTAATGATACTAATATCATACATATTGTGTAGTGTTTCATCTGAATGCACTTTAAAGTTACTGTAACATAACAACAGTTTTCAAGTTTTAACTGTATATTATCACCAAGTATTCCAACTGCTGTTTCTTTGTATTTGTTGGAACATATTGAGGTTGGGTTTAACCTTTAACCAACTAAAAGTAGCCATATGGCTACTTTACTTTACAAACATGCCTGCACCACCTGGCTCTATATACCTGCTTAGCAATGGCCTCTAAGCGCCTGTGCAAAATTTGCTGGGAAAAAGTTTATAGAATGTGAAAAAAAAGTATTACTATTGGTTCTAGGGTTAGGCTGCAGGGAGAAAGTTAAGTGAGCTCTTGTCCCACTCTACCTGTATAAGAAGCAACAGACTGTGTCAAATTTCACACACAAGAACATTCTATGCCAGGCTAAACCTGGGGATTTGGTCTGCCCCAGTTGATTTCTATCCCAGACATACCTTCAGCTTCTCTTTTTGTCTGCTCTCTCAATACTAAACGCACGGACGGGTATTGTGATCATCAAAACCAAATCCCGACTTATCCGATCTAAAGCTGACAAATACTGGTGACATGTTAGCGCTAACTCTAATCCTGAAGAATGCCCTAGGCTGCCTACAGAGTTTTTTGAAAGTGAACGATTTGCTTTTGATCATCAGAGAATGGACAGGGCTCAACAGATAACAGCAAAGAGACAGTCTGAGAATATCTCTGAGGCCCAAACTGCTGATCAAACTAAGGGAAAGGAGATAATGTATTGGGGAGTCAGTTGGTAGAAAATTAAAAATTGGTACAATTTTACACCAAAAAAAAAAAGATTGGTCAAATTAGAGATTTAGGATCCTATATATGCTGTAATTTCTATCATGTCAGAACACTGAAGGCTGCTTTCATTTCAAGTTGTTAAATAGTCTTAGCCTGGGTACCAACCGGATTTTCGCTCCGCAACACTAAAAAAAATTGTTGCTTTTTTCTAGCGTTGTGGAGCGAAAATCTGGATAGTACATGTACCCAGGCTAGAATAGTTTTGCCCCTTATGCTTTTACTGTAAACATGATGGCAAATACACTTATTTACAAGCACAAAATTGCTGCCCCAGGGCCTATGTTGTGTGTGACTCAATAGGAATCCTTCCCTAACCATGACATCCCCATGACTAGTGATAACATCTACCTGGGGGAGGTAGTCTACATTCCTCTGGCCTGGTAATGGACAGGTAAACATCAAGTATGTCACTAAACAGGAAGGGCCCTTCCATTAGATCTGTGTACTTGGGAAGTCAATGTGTTTTTGACAGAATGGCAAACGTTTTGCTGTTTGAATATGTCTCAATTTTTTCCAGTTCATTAAGGGACAATGTAATCTTTTGTGCAATCACAGAATAAGTTTATTATAATTATGATGTGTAGTAAATTTATACTTATAATAAAAAGTTATATTATTATTGCATGGTTACATGGTTTAAAAAATATTAAGACTTCTCCCTCCGATCCTTTAAACTTCTCCCTGATGTGTAAAAAGTTTGTCAAATTTGCAATGGCTACATCGGTTATGCAATAAGGAGCAGAAACAAAAACAAAACAAAAAGATGATAATATATTTGAAAGCCTGGATGTAATTATAAGTTACGGCAAAGATCAAGGTAGAGAACTGTACCAAGAAAATCAAATTCAGTCCTGGGAGACTGTTAAGCCCAACATCTGAGCCCACTGACATTCCTGCAATAGCTCTGTTTACACCTACTGAAAGTGGAACAGGAGTCAAACAGATGCATGGGAATTAGGTGTTTTAATATGAAGCCATTCTAAAACACCTCATAAGGTGTCAGGGAAAATTTTTTTTCCTGGTAAAATAGGATGCTGATGTGAACTTTTAACTTTCTTTTTTTTTCGTATTTTGAATTTGAATTTCTCCCTGCACTGTCACATCCGCCCAGCCTGCAAGGACACCAATTTGACCTTCCTGTTCATCTGCGGTGACACTATCCCCCCCCTCCTCACTTTCTGTGCTCGAATAACTACGGACACACATAGACAACGGAACTACGGAAACGATAGACAAACACACTGAAAAAAAGACTACATGCTCAGAGTCAGAGTTAACAAACACTGTTGTAGCTTAATTCAATCACATGTAGCTAGAGGAGGTTGGACAAATAGGATAAAATGAAAAGAGCAGCACGTTACCTCCTTAAACGCTTTGTTTGCTTCGCTCTCATCGTTACACTCCACCTGCAACACAACAACACAGAGTCAACATCCACGATCAATGCCATTTAGTCACTTTACAATGGTACCAAACACCTGTTAACACCTGCTTGCACCTGATATATGTCAGGTTATCATTCAGGTTATCATTCATTTGTGTCTCTTACCATTTGTGTTTCAGTTTCTTAGATATAAATTATTGGTTCAGGGAATAAGAGACAATTATTAACACCAAAATCTATGGTATTTTTTTGTTCTTGAATGTAATATGGAATATCAACAGTCATAAAAACACAGTCAGATGGGAAGCCTGTACCTAATGTTTTAACTTTTTAAGAAGTGAATACAATCAAGTGTTCCTCCCTGTTTCTATCCTATATCCTGGCCTCTTGTTCAATTTTTGCTTTAAAATGTCAGCAAAAAAATCAAGATTGATGTATTTCTTTGAGATAATTGATTATACTTTTATTTCCAAAATCACATATTGCAAAGTAGCAATTTACTCAGGGTCTAGGGGATGGCATTTAGAAGCTTAATTGGACCCAAAATTTTTGCAGCAACTTGCAGCTACCCTAACCCTTTTGAGTTCACCTGGTAAAGTCAGACTTGGGTACCCTGAGGCAAATTTCTGCTTGAACCCCTTTTAAGTATGTGGACCCTGTAAATTCCACATTTCAGTCACATCTTTGTTTGTTTTCGTCTTACTATAGGTGGTGGGAAAGGTTTCTGTAACAGGCAAACTGGACCAAGAATAGTTTGAAGTCAAGAGCAAGGTAATTTTTTTTAAAAATCCTTCAGACAAAAATATTCTTTTAAAGTATTGCTGCATATGGAAACAAATGCAATTTAGCTATAAATTCTGAGACTGAAATAAAATGACACTTACTCAGCAAACTACATTATGTACTGACTACATGGGGCAAAGTGACAATCAATATTATACTATTCTTCAATATTAATAATTGATACATGCACATTGGACTCATATCGATTTGACATTCTAGATAGGATTATTAATAACTTGATATAGGATTATTAATAACTTGATATTTTACAAAGATACCTAAGTCAACTACTATATAAAACGGTCCATTAAATATACATAATCATACATAGTCAATCATACGCACAATGAAAAGTGTTATTCTAAAGAGTTTGCATTTTCATCAATCAGTCCAAGGCCACATGTCCATTGAACTATTAATTATTTTCCTTTTCTAATTAATCTTCTCTAGTCAGCTTTCTGTAAAGGTTTTAGGTAAATATCTTGAGGGACAATTGCATGTTTTCCACACAACCTCCCCCATGTACTCAGAGATTGTTATTATATAGATTTGAATACAAAGTAAAACCACCCGTATATGATTAAGTACAATGTAGGGTTGAGCTTTGGCCGTGCTGTGTGTTTGTATGTACAATACAACGACTCCTTATCTGGTTTACAGATAAAATGCCAGCGATAAGGGGCTTTTATATACCCTGTTGTATCAGCAAACAACTGCCAACACCTGGGATAGCTTTGACATTTGCAGAAGAGAGTTTTGTCATTATGGAGGCTCATCTGTGTTGATAGCTTACTCTCCAAGCAGGAGTTTGGGTTTCGGCTTATTTTTTTACGCGTTTTTAGGCATTTTTATCAGGCTTTCTTTTTCAGTATTTTTGTAGCACTTTATTGTATCTTTTTCACACTAGCTGTGGATAGTTATAATTTCTTACTGACCCTCAGCAGCCTTCTTACCAAAAGACGGGGCAACCAAAGAACTGAGTGTATTCCAAGCCTCAACAAAGAAGTGTCTTTGCACCTTGCATATTTCAGACACATCACAGAGTAAGAAATTTTTTTTCTCCTAAATGGATTGAGGAGGTAAAACCTTCAAAAGAAGTGAAAGTTCTGTAACAATAACACACGTAAATTTGACACCAGTTGCCGAAATAAGATTACTGCAGTAACTATGCTGTTGCCAGGCCTGGAAAATTACATTTAGTAACTTCTCAGATCAAGTTTCTACTTCCAAGTTCTCAACACAGACCCTGAAAATATAACTTCCTCCCTTCGGAGAAAAATTTGTACCAAACAGGGAGCCAAAAGTAGATTACTATCTTCAATTAGCCTAATTACTTCGTAAGACATTAAATATGTCGATTCTAGTTATATCTTATGCATATATGCATGTATGTAGGATCTAGTGAAAGGTAAAAATTAGGTATTTGATATCAACTACATTTGAAGACTGAAAGTGAAACAACAAAAAAGGGATGACAAAAAAGTCTGAAGTTGTTTTCGTGAACAGCGACAAGACATTTAAAATCAGGTCACTTCCTGGTGTCTAAACTCATTACCTCAAAGGGGGACAACCCTTAATTAAGTTTTCCCTCGGGCCATATCAATACAATTAGTTGTCTGTGCTCCACTTTTTTTCTCTTTATTTCCGCCATTCCAGAGTTACTGAGAAAGGCAAATCAAGTCCATTGGGACAATATCTTACCATTAACACAATGCGAGTGGGTTTATTGGGACAATTTTATACTTGAGACAATTGGTAACTTAGCTCAGCTTACCAAAAATGGTGCCAATCGTTGCCAAGTACTTTTGGAAAGTAACAAGATCTTTGCTGACGATATGGATGGATGGAAAACTCTTAGAAAGTTGGATGTGGTCCAGTGGTGTGTGGTGTGGTGTAGCGGGCCGTACCAAACACACGAACACACACGCACACACACACCCCTCCCACTACAAACATAGCAACACTCAACCCGCCAAACTGTCCAAACAAGCTCTTTTAGCAGAGATCAACAACAACAACACTATATATCGGCTGTTTTATATTAACCTTGCTGGAGTTTACAACAACAGGGCGACAGGTATCGTTTGAGTGGTGCTAGAGTGAAGTTTAAACTGTCATATTTGACCTGACCCCCCCACACTCCACGACACTTACCTTCTTCAAAACATACTTCCGACCGTCGATCCTGTTTTCCGCAAGGAAAACGGAGCCCTGTGCGCCTTTTCCTAGCCTCTGTAACACCTGAAATCAAACGAAAACATTCTTATCTTCCATCTGCACAAGTATCGAAGCCAACCTGCGAAGGAATTCGCCAGAAACGAGAGAAAAATCGGAGAAAGTTTGGGAGCAGTACCTTGTAGTTCTCCATGTTCGTGTTCTCGGTAACCACACTAAACATTCGGCGCGCGCATGCGCACTGCCCGCCCGCAGCAGACTACCCGTCGACCCTACCCGGCATGCACCGCGCGCACCCACCTGTTGAGCCGAAGTCTGGCGTCGTTCCTGTTGCCATGGCAACGGCGAAAAAAGTCGTCTGTCTGTCTGATCATCGAAATTTTAACAATGGTTTGAATGGATGAGACCGTCGCCTAGGCAACGGTAAAAGATAGTTATCTCTCTTTTTTTAGAATGGTATAACAATGGTTTGAATACATTTGATTAATGGTTTCAATAGATTTCAAAGTGATTAGTTTGAATAGATTTAAAGCAATTTGTCTTAATATCATTAAAGCAGTTAGTTGACATCGTGCCGTCGTTTAAATGGGTTTGGTCAGTGTCTTACAGTGTTTTTCCGGCATTTGAAAGTCATTTTCTTGGAAGGGCAGGCTGTGAAGAATTTATTCCAAATAGCCACCAGGCCTGAAATGAGGACCACTGTTTGTGTGGGCATATCTCTGCTGTTGGAAACGTGATCAACTCAAGTCAAGCTAGCTTCTTTCCTTTTTAGGAGGGGTTGCAAGATCCCACACTCTCTCCCTAAAAAAGTATGGAAGCCCTGTAATCTCCAAGCAGATCTTTCGGTGGCCTCAAAAGACAGTATCAAATCGGCCAGGCAGTATCCATTAGCCAGACAGTTACCATTGGCCACCGTGTTAATAGCCTTTGTACTTTTCGACTTCTTGCAGATCTTCGGTGGCTAGTGGATTGGACACTCCTCTGGCCACCGTATGATCTGCTTTTAGATTACCGGTGCTACGATATTCCATGTGTCGGACTGAATTCAAGTTTTGTCTCGTTTTCACTAGAACCGCCAGGCGGCACTTTTGTACGTATCTTGAAAATTTCATTGAGAATTCATTCATGGTTTCGTCACAAAGAAACATCTGTCTGGTCCTGCCCGGATATCTAATCTCCAAGCAGATCTTTTGGTGGCTACAAGACAGTATTAAATTGGCAATACACTATCATTGGCAGTATCCCAATACACCACCCGAAAAAATACTATTACAGAAAAAGAAAGCCTGATAAAATCGGCTAAAACGCGTGAAAAAAATAAGCCAAGACCCAAACCTCTGCTTGTTACCAGATATAGTCCAGTCACTAGAACGGCAGGTATATTAGTATTGGCACAATAGCCTAGGCCTCTACCAGGCTTCAGAAGCGACTGGAAAGAGTAGAAATTGGCCAAATAGACAGATAACATGCATGCATGCCAAGGTCCGCTAAAGGAGTACATTTTCAGCTCCAATTTCTGAGTATACTCTTTCCAGCCGCTTCTGAAGCCTGGTGGAGGCTAACACTGCAAATTCTCTCTGCAATATAATACAGTTGCAGAATTGCTAGCGGGACCTACACTGTATAACGTTATTTGGCCAGGAAAAACATCCTTTCATCTCACTCATTTTTTCTGAGAAGCCGCTGGAATAAAATTACACAGTTCAGTGGCGACCCTTCGCATACTGATCACGCCCTCTCCTATCCTCCAAGCAGAGGTTTGGGCTTCGCGGTCGGCTTATTTTGACGCGTTTCAGGCGTTTTCATCAGGCTTTCTTTGTTTAAACTGGATCGAGATGGTTTTTTTTTACCCCATTTCATGCAATGGTAGCCTCTACCAGGCTTCGGTAGACGGCTGGAAAGAGTAGAAATTGGCCAGAGATAACATGCCGGGGGAGTTGGTCTGCAAGAGAGTACAATTCGGGTCGCGGCAAATTGTACTCTCCAGCAGACCAACTCCCCGGCATGTTATCTCTCTATTTGACCGATTTCTACTCTTTCCAGCTGCCTCCCGAAGCCTGGTAGAGGCTATGCAATGGTAACTGTCTGGCAAATGGTTAATGCGTGGCCAATTTGATACTGTCTTCAGCGCAGCCGCCAAAAGATCTGCTAGGAGATTAGACCTCTCCCTAAATAATTCTGCAGTCGGTTCCCAAGTACAGCCATGCGTGCAGCTAGTCTTGTTGCATGATGAGTCCAACAGACACATTCCGCACAACCATTACCTGTGACCCCACCAAGTGATTGCTTCGGGGGGATGAGGGACCGCTCATTTTAATCTCCAAACAGATGTTTCGGTGGCAGCAAAATGCAGTATCAAATTGGCCAGGCAGTACTCATTGGCCAGTATCCATTTGCCACCCAAATTTTGCAGCCACCGAAACATCTGCTAGGAGATTACGTTCTTTGACTTCGTAAATAAATGCAAAAATATATAAACAAATACCGAATATAAAAGTAACAACTTGAAAGTCCTATATCATACATATCACAGTCCGCAAATCTCCATCAACATAAATTCCAAAACGTTAGGTTTCTATAGTCTAATTATATAAACAATAAGCTATTCGATAACACATGTATTATGTTTCCATACACTTATGCTGGGGTTACAATTACCATACGGGGCTTTTGGGGACGAAATACTGCATAAAAGACAACATACAAAACACTGAAAAGCTTTAAACAATAATTATGGGCATTACTTCTGTATATTCTTGATATGAATTGTTAATTTCTCGTTCATACAAACAGCCCGGCCGGGCCCCGGTTTGGAAATGTGACCTAAGCATAATTAATATATGCTGTACACCTATATACTGATATGCCCCCGACCCCCCTCCATGAACAGTGAACCGCCCCGAAACGGGTTTTACTCCCACCCAGTGACCTTAAGGTCTTCACGCTCCCGGCTACTGTGTAAATCCAGGCAAGCGACAAAAGGTGAGTTTTCGCCAAAATTTCGCGTTTTCCGTCCACGTTTCTTGGCGAAAATGCGTCGTTTTTGTACCACCGATGTTTGGATTTCCTCGAATGGCAAATTTGACGGTTCTGACAGGCTCCCGTCATCCTGCGTTTGTGTGTTGTGCTGCCAAATTTTCGGTTACACCCAAAATGTTCCCGCTCGAACATGAAAACCGCACCGCACAAAACGCCCTTTCTATGATGGTAAAATTATCACGTAACGCCACAAGCGTCCGTTTTCCTAGTAGAATTCTAAAACAACGGAGAAATTTGGGGTGGGAGGTAGTACTAGTGATATCAGCGTCGCTTTCAATAATGAATTCTTAATTCGGGTTGTCGAGCAAATACAAAAGACAGCGACACAAAGAATTGTGCGGAAGGCCATATTTCTAGATCTCTGGGACAGCTAGGGTTTGCTAAAACGATTACGTAGAAAACACTCTTATATTTCAGAGGCTGATTTCAGTACGCTGAACAAGTAATAGAATAGAGATTTTATCGTCTTTATATTTCCACAAATGACGATTTTCTGACGTTTTGCGCGAAATAATGACAATGATAGTAGCAGTAGTCTGTCATTTCCGGATGATTTGACTGCAGTTCATTGACCTCCGCAAGGGGGCATATAAAGAATACATGAATAAACTTACCACTTACCACCTACTTACATTATAATGAATTATATTCGTTCTTTCGTACATTTTCCGAGGCCTAGCTTGCCTTCATTTTCCTCGAACATACTGTGTTGAACGATGTGTAAAATTTGTGCAAAAATTTAACTGCAAGAATATGTATATCCCTGACACTATCATTGTCATTGTTGAAATTTTGCCGCGGTTTTAAAGCTTTAATCAGCCTCTACTAATTTATAGTATAGCATTCCAGCTTTATCAAATTCTATTTCTAACAAGCAAAACTGCAGACGAACGTTCCCCAAACAAGTAGTAGTAGTAGAATGGTTTATTTAGAAGACTCAAACATTATACACAATACACTCTGACAACAGACTCACAGACAACCTTACTGGATGACTGAATTGCTCTATCTGTGTATCTGAAATATCGTTAAAATATGCTGTTAAAAGGTATTATTGTTAAAACATTATTGATTACTTATTGCTAAAATTTATATTAATTATAAATATTCCTCAGCTTTAAACACTACGCAAGCACGATTATACGCACATTCGGAAACGTAAACTACCCCCCCTCCCCCCCAATATAAACCATGCATAATTCCGTCTATAACGCGATTTGTGCGAATGAAATTCATTACCCTAAAGAACGCAACGACAGCATATGATTATCCTTGGTTTATATTCAATTCAATTCAATCTTTATTCAAGCTACTCGAAGACAATATTCTCGGTCTGAATTACGGTTCTGACTATTCAATGGTCTGAAGACCCATTGTATTACATTCAATCTTAATGATCTATAATAGGCAACGTTGAATTACTAGTATATGATCTAGTGATTCTTCTATATCTAGCCCAGCAAAAATATTACATTTCTGCTTTTCCCTGTCCTCGTTTACTCTCCAAGCAGAGGTTAGGTTTTTGGCTTATCTTTGGCGTGTTTTTAGATTTTTTATTGGGGTTTCTTATTTGCACTTTTTCATTTTCATTTATTTATTTATCCAGGTGATACATATCGCCTTGTCGGCGTTTTTCAATGATACCTGGGGGGTAAACCCCAACATAGTAAAATACAAAGTAACTGAGGATAAAATACAATAATAAATAAGAAGAAAATAATCACTATATACAAGTGTGCAATGAAACATAAGGTAACATAAAGAATCCAACCAAACATAAATAAGTTAATTAAAGCGAAAGGAATTTGCATATCAATGGAACTTATCTCACAAACATAAAACAAACAAAATCATATTAACTGGTAAGGAAAATCATCATGTTTGTAAATCACTCAAAATATTTTTACGTTGGGTCGGTGCAGAAAAAAGAAACCCTGATAAGAGAAAGCCTTAAAACACGCCAAAAATAAGCCCAAACCCAAACCTCTGCTTGGAGAGTAGTCCTCATTTTGCTCAACTGTACGCTATGCCGGCCCTTATAATCCAATACAACTATTTATACATGATTTGCATGATCTAGCGATTTTTCTGTATGCTGTGAGCCCAGCAAAAATATATGCCTTTTCTACTATTCCCAGTCCTCATTATGCTCAACTGTGCACTATTCACTATTGATCATGATATGCCGGCCCTTATAATCCAATACCCGGGTCGTTACGGAACGGTTAATATGATTATGCAAACCGCACGCATAGAAAATCGATTGATATTAGTTTCATGTCAAATAATAAATGTTCGTATCTCCGAGTACCCTTTGGAATCTCCTTGTAGAGAATATCATGCATGCTTCAAACAGACACATGTATATGTATGTAATGGATACGTATATATACGCCTCCGTACGACGTAGATGATACAAAAATTTGACCTATACAAGGGGCGCTGCCATGTACGTCGGTAAATTTGAAGAAACTGCCCACAGATACATTGTGGTATATACATGAAGAGAGAAGAAAAACAGCCAATTCATTCATAATTTCTGTAATCCAACTTCAGGTATATACCAGGTGTTATTGAAGTGTTCGATCGAGCAGTGTTTTTTTCCTCCAACTATTGTGGAACTCACATTGACACAAATACAGCCTCCTCACTAGATAGCCTTTTTTAAGGACGATTGCTGTTAGATCGATGTACAAATGTTAGATGTGACAGGTCATTCAGTACATATTATATACCCAGCTGCTGCCGTGCTGCACGCTTGCGAAGCTCGTGTGTTACGACGAAGGGCGGTTATACAGATCACAGATTATTCGTATTCAGCAGAGCGGCCATGTTAATAGCTATGTCATAATGTAGTAACGGCAGTTGTCGACAAACAACACTGTGATATATGGGAGGGCACTTATCGCCATTTCTGGCACGACGTTTCTGCCTAGCCTCCAGAGCATGCCAAAAACTGGGGGTTTGGGGGTCTTCATGGTCTTTGGCATCTTTTATGTGCTATTTCCTGATTGCATATAGACAACATAGCCGGCCTGGTTGAATTACCCCCGTTTTTAGAACTGGGCTGATCAGAAAACAGCCGAAGGCCACCAAACCCCCAGTTCTATAGCCTGCTACGGAGGCTAGTTTCTGCCCTTTTTACCTTTGCCCCGTTCCAAAAAAAAAAAAGCAATGAACGAAGAAAAATACACAAAAAATGTGCTAGAAACTCCACCATTTTGATATATGGGAGGGCACATGATCGCCATTTGTGGCACGACCCTTCTTGATTTTAACTCCATGTGGCTTAAACCTTTGCCCTGCTCTAAAAAAGCAATGAATGTAGAAAAATACCAACAAAAAACGTGCTAAAAACTCCGCCATTTTTTTTATCTGTCAATCAGATGACGTTTCAGTATTTTTGAATGAATAATTCATCCGATCGGAGCAGGTGATACCACAATAGCGGCGGCCCCACATGGAAATAAAGGTTAATAAATTATTAACGCAGCCCTTTGCTACGATATTCTCTCCCTGCATTGTTGTTTTCCTCAGTCTGTGTATGGGACCTTTCCGGTTATACTAAATAGACCCTTGTGTTGTCTTAGTAGTGTCTGGATTTGGATCGAAAGTGACAACCGTACAACCTGACAGAGACGAGAGAAAAACGTTACGTTTCGCTACATGTGAGTGCCTTAATGTTAAATTTATTGTTCGTCTGCTGAATATGATTTTTAGTGGGGGAGGGGGGTGTGCGTCTTGCCCTGTGTTTGCTATACGTTACATTCTTTCTGGGTACGTGATTCGGAGTCATCTTAATTGTTTTGTTTTCGCTTCATTTGACTAGATATAAACGACACAATAAGCCAAAATGTAGAATTTGGTAGTGCCGATATACATGCAATGGCTAATACAAGCACTCAGGAAGTGTACACATAAAATAACCTTAATTGTTTTGTTTCCGCTTCATTTTACTCGATCAGAATACCACAGTATTATATATTAGCCAAAATGTAGTACATGTAGTACAGATATGCATGAAAGGGTTGTTCCAACCATTCAGAATTCTAGAAAGTGTACACATAAAATAGCCTGATCCCCAGTGACCAATATCATGATCTACATTTCTCATGAACGCGTTATGACTAGATTCGTTACCAGTGATTTTCATTTTTTGACCTGATTCGCAGCACTGAAAATCCATCGTTGTCCTAGATTTCTGCATCCGCCATTTTTTACAGCAGTGGAATTAATTGTGTTCACTAAAATGGTATACAGCTTAGCATGGTATAGGAAAGTAGTAATTTATAGTTCTGTATAAATTTATAATATCTAACATTAAATAGCTTAACTCTGTTTTGTTGTTACCTGGACGTTACCCATGTGACATTGTTTTGTGTTGTAATTTTTATTTTATGTCTACGTAGTGGTGACGTGAATATAAGCATATTGCTTGAGTGCGTTATACCACTATGTATTGTATTATTTGCACGTTGAAATGTTAAAAAGGGGGAGGGGTGCGATGTGGTGGCTCGTCTTATGTATATTTGCAGAGCTCTTAAAATTCTATACCTACCAGCTGTAAACAACACGTTCCATACACCGTCACAGCCGTATTGAAGGGTTAGGCCATACCAAGTAATTTCTATGGATGACGTCCGCACACGCATTGATTTTGGCCTGTTCCCAGAAACTTGCTTTTTTTTCTTCCGCCCTTCTTGTTTTTTTTTTCACTCTCGCGCATTAGACTAAAAGTATGACAAGGCTTTTGGGCTGATAACGGATTGATGATTTACTATTTGTTTTTGTATTAGAGCTTTTTGGTTTGATTTGTAATCCGTGACCCCGCCCTCACCCTCGACCTTGTTGAAAAGCGGTCATATGTATGTACCGAACAAGCTTTCGAGTTTAAATAAAGGCTTACTACTACTACTACTGGATTTAGGGTCTCCAGAGGACGTCATCCATAAAAAATTCTTGTCGGGGACTTATAATGTTTATCTGGCTCCATATCTGGCACACGCCCATACTGACCTTTAACCATATATACGTCATAATACACCTTACTCTTAACTCATTCATCATGCATATCGTGTATCCTTACTGGATGTTTAAGAAAAGGATATAAAATTTTCCTTCTGGGTTTTTGATTGCATTGCTTGGCCTAGCCTCCGTAGCAGGCTTATAGAACCCATGATTAGCCCAGTTCAAAAAACGGCTATGTTGTCTATATGCAATCAGAAAATAGCACATAAAAGATCCAAAACCCACAGTTTTCGGCATGCCTATGGAGGCTATGCTTGGCCGGTGAACCGAATTGAAGCGTAGCGAACCATATTTTGTACGTAGGACCTAGCCTCTACCAGGCTTCAGAAGTGGCTGGAAATAGAAATCGGCCGTAAAGAATATGAATTTTCCATCTGGAGTTTTGTTTGCATTGCTTGCTTGGTGAATCGAATCGAAGCGTAACGAACCATGTTTTTTTACGCTGGACCTAGCCTCTACCAGGCTTCAGAAGCGACTGGAAATATTAGAAATTGGCCGAAAAGAATTAATATGAATTTATTTCTGGATTTGTATTTGTATTGCGTGGTCGGTGAACCGAATCGAAGCGTAGGGAACCAATTTTTATTATTATTATTTATTATTTTTTATTTTATGACGATTTACCACATTTGTGGGAAGATTGACATAACAGGTGACTATCACCTAGGACGCAGGACCTAGCCTCTACCAGGCTTCGGGAGCGGCTGGAAAAAGTAGAAATTGGCCAAATAGGCAGATGGATAACATGCCGGGGGAGTTGGTCCTCTCGGGAGCGGCAAACTGTACTCTTTGGCGGACCAACTCCCCCTGCATGTTATCTGTCTATTTGTCCAATTTCTACACTTCCAACCGCTCCTGAAGCCTAGTAGAGGCTATGTATGACCGAATTGGTTATACTTTGCTTTGATCCACACATCAATGTACACGGGGGCAAAACCGGCCCCATCTGCGTTGTAGCATAAAATGGTTCTTCAGTACCAAGGAGAGGGTAGCATGTGTGTCACCGCTGACGTTATAATGATTGTAATTTGCATACCCAGCTATCATCTTAGCCGGTACGATTATGTTAGTGTGTTTAATCCAACATGACACAAGTCATATAAAGGGCCTGCAGCTGTATACATTCACACCTATCTGTTGTTGTTGTTATTTTTTTTTTGTAGTTGTGTATCGCTGACAACAAAGAAAAGAAGAAAAAATGGCAGAATCGGCGAGCGAACAGAGACAAAGCCTGGTGGAGCGGGCAAAGGTGCGTACATGCATGTAAAGAAACTATTCCCAAATCCTATAACTGTACTACTGTGTTACCATTATTGTTTTGCTTGCATTGCCTTTGTTATACATATCCATAATGACGATCCTTTCCCATGATCATTCTGTCATTGAATATATCTTTGTTAGTGGTGCCGCTGACATAATCTCTACGCTTAAGCATGGCATCACTGTCGTTGTTTTTCGCAAAAAAAAATCACCGCGAATTCATGACTCCCACTGAATATGCGTATCCAATATGGGAGTAATATAATGCATATTACCCCCACACACCATTAAAGTTCTGGGTGGATCTTTATGAGTTTATGGTATATTATTCCATGGTTTACAAAAGAGAAGTCAAACACTCAGACATACTTTTAGACATGCTATAGTTTTAAACAATTACCTTTTATCATGTAGATTTTGAAATTATTTTGTACTCTGTTTCAATGTCTTTTTTAATCTTATTATTGTTATTATCTTGTCATTTGCAATTAGCCTTCGGGCATGAATTTGCAATAAACTTATTATTTATGATATAATTATATAATTATTACTACTCCAGTTGGCAGAGCAGGCAGAGCAGTACGAGGACATGGCGAGGTGGATGAAGGAGGTTGTGGAGCTGGACGTGGTTCTGACAGAAGAGGAGCGGAACCTTCTCTCCGTGGCCTACAAGAACATGCTGGGCGCGCGCCGGTCCGCGTGGAGGGTCATCGGGTCCTCAGAACTCAAACAGGTAATCAGCAAAGAGTCACCCTAATCAGCAATCTACAGAACTTTGTAGACTCTATCTTTGATGTACACAACATGTCTGAACAATTCTTATGTAACATTTTACTTAGAGGATCACCCGATGTACACTGTAACATTTTGACAATCACCCAAACTTACGTTATTGATACTAAACGGTTTGTATTAGATTAACTCCTACATAGCCTACAAAACACGTTCTTCCTTACCATTTATTGATACATTCCCACCCATGTGCTGTTCTCTGTCGTTTTTTGTCATGTATCTTGTCACTGTATACTTTCTATGTTTGGTGGTAAGGTCAAAATTAGCTATAGCTAGAGTATCTCACCACCATGTCCTGTATTATCCAACATGGCCTAATATTGATTTTATTCGTGTACCTGTAATGCCATTGGAAATAAACTCTGAATCTGATTCAGGTGGAGTCCGGCGCCGAGGAATCCGACAGCAAGAAGAAAGCCGTGAAGTGGCTGCGAGAGAAAGTGGTAACGGAGATGAAGGAGATGTGCGGCAACGTCTTGGCCCTCCTCGACAAGTACCTCATCCCGCGGGTCGACAAGCCGGAGAGCGAAGTCTTCTACCAGAAGATGAAGGGAGACTACTTCCGCTACCTGACCGAGATCAGCGAGGGAGACGAGAGAGAAGACATGGCGTCGAAGGCGAAAGACGCGTACGAGAAGGCTCACGAAAAGGCCGCCCAGTTGCCCACCACCAACCCGGTTCGCTTGGGCCTGGCGCTAAACTTTTCCGTGTTCCACTACGAGATTCGGAACAACCCCGACGAGGCTTGCCGGCTGGCGAAGGAGGCCTTCGACGAGGCTTGTAAAGACTTAGACCAAGTAAAGGAGGAATCTTACAAGGACTCAACCCTGATCATGCAGCTTCTGCGGGACAACCTCACACTCTGGACCAGCGAGAGTGAAGATCAACTAGAAGACTAGATCCAGGCCCCCCTCCCCACATGTCCAGCTTTTGGCATTGACGTAAACCTATCTTACACAGTAAGGCCACACCGACTATTTTATGGATGACATCCTCTGAAGACCCCCAAACTAGTGCGCGCGGGCGAATAAAAAAAATCCGGCCAAAAATAAAAATTCTACTAAACCACAGGGATACAAAGCTGATATTGTGAATTTGCTGTAGTACTTGCGGCACTGTACGTATGTACTGAGATCTTGAGTCGTGGAGCTTCGGTAGCCTGGGTGCCCGGCTCCATATTGTCGCTAACTACCATGGACTACCCAGGCTTAGAGCCAGTCCAGAGCCTCGGTGGACGTGGTTTTTTTCTTCTTCTTCTTCTTCTTGTTTTTTTTTTTTACAACAGGCGAAAATCAATGCGCGCGCGGATGTCATCCATAGAATTAAGTCGGTGTGGCCTAATGCCTCTTGTTTGGGGGGTGGGAAACCTTCTTTAAATAGCTGTTTGATGACCGCATCTTTTTTCCAGAAGCAACATTCCGAACACTACATGTGCATCATATCATCGCCATAGCTTACTTAAGCTGTCCCTCAACACAGTTCTATAAGTCCTGAGGCAGTATTTAAATTGTACTACCTTGGGTCCACTTTGATAACAAAATCTACTTTCGTTGTCTGTATCGATTAGTGTTATCACCAATCTTAAGTTAAGCTTGTCGATAGTTATCTGTGTTCGTTATCACCATTTAGACCTATAATTATCCATACTAAATTATTTATACCAGAAGCGGCCACCCTGCCAGTTCTCAAGTAAACTACTGGCATGGATACTATCAGTAGAAATACTTCAAAAGTTGTGCTCGAAAATGAAGCTAAAACATAGTCCATATGGTGTTGGGGGTTACAAAAAAGAAAAAAAAAATCATGGAACAGTGAAGCTAACAAATTATGCCAAACGGAAAGAGATTCTACCAAAATACGAATTGTGTCCTGAAAAAAAATGTCATAGATGTGTAGTTAATTGTTTTATAGGTAGCCTGTGTTACGCAACATCCAACTGTCAGTATACATACATGTATATGAGCTCCTCCCCTGCAGTTACGCAAGCGGGCCGCTAGGAGCGTGATTTTAGCCAGGCCAATTTTACGGTGTACGTAGCCTCTACCAGGCTTCGGAGGTGGGTATGCGGCAAATGTATTCCTATAGCGGACCAACTCCCCTGGCATGTTATTTGCCTATTTCTACGGTTTCAGCCGCATCCGAAGCCTGGTAGAGGCTAAGGGTACTAGTCTGGCTTTGCCCATAGTATAGATCTCTACTTTTGTAATAGCCTCTACCAGGCACCGCGGATCGCTGGAAAAATAGTAGAAATTGGCCGAAATAAAGGAATAGTATACCAGAGAAGATCCAGGGCCATA